CCCGTGCCCCCCCCCCCCCCGCCGCTGCCGCCGCCCTTGCCGCCCCAACCGCCACCCCAGGAGCCGGTGCCGCAGGAGCCAGAAGAGCAGCCGCCTCCTCCCCAGCCGCCACCGCCCTTGCCTCCTCCGTAGCTGCCGCCACCGCCGCCACCGCCGCCACCGCCGAACTTGCCTCCTTTCTTGCCGCCGAAGAGCTTGCCGAAGGTGGGCGCCGCGTCGACGGTGGCGCCGGCTCCGACGAGAGCCAGGAGGACAACAGCAGACTTGACCATGATGCTGTTTGTCGAGTTACTGAGGGGTTAAGGTTGAGATTAGGGTAGAATCTATGGAGAGTGTGTTGGTGTGTGTTGGTCCTACGTTCCTCGAAAGATTGTCGGAGAAGGAAAGTCAAGACACGGTCAACGTGTTGTCGAATGTCCGATGGGGAGGGCTTCTGTCTTGGCAGAGGACGCTAGCTTATATACACGGTTCTATTCAGTGTGTTCAGCCTCCGAACGTTCCTCGATCGATGATGGGACGAGAGGAAGAGAGGTACGCAGGCCCCGGAAAGAGGTGTGCGGCGCACGGCGGCGCAGTCCAGCTTCGGTCGTCTGGTCATCTGTCGTCGGGGTGGGGCATCGTTTAGAGCTACGTTTGCAGCCGAGGGATTGACGCAGCTCGGCGTCAAGGATACAGACAATCAGACGGGCTACGGGCATGCGGTCAGGTGCGTATGCCTCCGAAGCCTCGCCATCTTGACTGCATCGGGCTCTGTCTGGCCCGTGGTAGGCCGGCAGGGTGGGACGAGAGTCCCAGGAAGTCTTGGCCCCAAATTCCTGTGTTTACTCGCGGCTCCCTCGTTGTTTGCAGAACTCCAGCACGCCCGGAGGCCCACTGTACGACGGCATGTCCGCCGACAGTGGTGCAGAGTACGAGGCCCTGTTTGCGGAGGTTCGTCGACAGGCGATGCCACAACGACAGAGCCAAACGCTCGAGACTGGGCCAACGGTGGTCGTACTAGTGACCAAGGTCTCCGACAGTTTCAAACCTTCTGCCACTCCAGCAGTCGAGGCTGGACCGCAGAGAACGGGGTGCTCCGGGGTCCAACCCTGGCTCGGCGTCCAGCCAGTCGAGCCCGCCGAGGTATTGCAGAACCAAGGTCAAAGTACGGCGATGAGCAGTGCGACGCAAAGCTCGGCCTGCTGATCAAGTGCAGCACGCGTCGGTCCAGATCGTGCCGGCATAAATCCAAACCTTTGGCTTTCCCTTACGTTTTCACTGGTCGCACTCACGAGAGTGAGCCGAAGCTTAGCGTTGCCCAGTATCTGGCACCTGTGTCGGCGGACGTCAGCACTCTCTCAGCGCTGTGTGTATGGTGCAGCAGTGTCTCACCCGTGTAATTAACTCAGGTTGTCAAGTCGACCCGGCAACAGACGCAGCTGGCATCGAGCGCGTCGCCGTCCCCTCTTCCCGCGGGAGAAACGTTTGAAGTGCCCATGTTCTCGTAAACTGGCATGTTTTGGGTTGAACTCTCCACACACTTCTCAAGCGCTAGCGTCCTCATACGGGGTGGTGCTATGTTGATGCTACGGCTTCGTTCCGTGTGCAAAGGCCGATGGCCGATGGGGCTGTTGGAAGCGAGCGCTTGTGACTGTTGGAACCCACTAGCCTTCCCGAGGGCGTCTCCACAAGACTGGGAAGCATTACGATCACCAAGAACACTCGCTTCGAGGTACGAAGAGAGTTCATCTCTACGAGGTGATACAAAAATTGCGTCACTAACTTTCCACCGAGAAGTTGTTTCACGTGCATCAAAGTGCGCTCGCAGGAACGCACATACCGCACTCGCTTGCACGAGAGACAGGCTATCTCGTCCATGCATGAGTATAGCTGCAGAGTTGGCAACGTCCTGTCCCTTCGATATCGATCAGCCATTCCGGTGAATTACAGTGTTGCCGATAGATCGTAGCTGCAGTGGGTCGCCATCCGGTGCACCTGTGTCGCCGTGCGAATGCCCACATTGGACCTGCGTACCCGCGCTCCACTCAGAATGCCACACTCGATGCTATTCTTAGTCGGCAGCCAGCCCCGTCGATCTTGCTTGAGAGATATTGTTGTGATGGCTGTGCAGATGCTCATGCCGGCCGGCACACAGTCAGTGGGGTGCAGAGAGTCGTACCCCCTGACCGGCCGTTGCTCGACCGCAAGAAGCGTCTAAACGACAAGCAGTGTGACCAGCAACTGGCGTCGCGTGTGACTGGCACCATGTAACGGCTGGCACACCCAGCGACCGGGTAGATGCCACTGAGGCACGCAGGCACAAGTGGAAAGGCTCCGAGTCGAGTGCTGCAATGCTGGAGAGCTCCGCATGAGCAGCTCAGGGCGACCCAAACTTCAAAGTCGGCGCTGCCAGCAACGTCAAGCGAGTAGCAGAAAGCGCCGAATGACGACAACATCAAGCATGTTTCACGACAACCTTAACAGCTTCAGTGGCCGCTGCTGATGCTGCTTGCGCGTGCTTAGCGTTTAAGCTCTTTCCGTCCCGGGGACGTGCGTGCTTTTCTTGCCTCCACATTTCAGTGAGATTTGGTGATTTTTCAAGGATTTCGTGTGATTTCCCTGTTTCATGGCGTGTCAGTGTGGGGCATGACGTGAGCTAGACTCGGGGTCACATAGCACCACAACCAAAGTGCAGCTTTCCTTACAAGCCGTCAGTACGCTTTACACTCTGCAACCCCCTGCCTGGATCTTGAACACAGGCAGAGACACCCTGCCTGCCCTGCTCGTAATTCTGCGCTGGTATCGCGACTGTTGAAAGCCATTGCGCCGGATGAGACATGTCCCAAACTTTGCCCCGATTGAAGACCCATGGCATACCTCGAATTCTGAACCAGCTCTGGTCAGCCCCAGTGCAATCTCGGGACCTGCAGTCTCACGATCGGCCAGAGGTACGGGGCCGCCAGCGATCCCCCGGGTGGAAGCTTTGGCACTCCCGGCTCCAGAAGGAATGCGCCGAGATAGAGTTTGACGCCGGCGCCAACACCCTGCAATCTGCCTCTTGCGGTGTGTTGATGCCTCCATTTGTGTGCGAAGGCATGCCGTACGCTGCTGCAAGAGTTACAGCACCGGCCAACCGAGAGCGAGTCGCCATCGTCGTCCCGTTTGGACATCAACTTTCCATAGGACGGGCGTGCGCACTTCCTTCGTACATCCTGTGGGCTGGATCCAATCGAGGTCATGTTTGCTGGGGCTTGTTACTGTGTTAGATCTAGTGTCTCGTGGTTGCGTGCTCCTCCCACGTCTCCCTCGCCCTAGCCAATCTGTGTGTGCACACAAGAAGGACGGGGCGAGGCAGCGCTAGTATTGCAATTGTCCAACGCACATACCAAACGCACATACCAAATGCACTGGCACTCATTACCAATCCAGACCTCAACAGGCCTCGAGGTCGGAGGAGGCCTTCGCTAGTTTCAATGTCTCTCACGGTTGTCCTCAGTCAGACTGATGAGCACGCATGATGGCTGCCTCCGTTACACCGGGCCGTCCAGGCCCGGCGCAGGAATCTCCGACTTGCCACTTCGAGCGTCCGTCGCGCAGAGGCTTGTCATGAGCAACATGCCGCACCCAATGTCCCGGTGCTTTAATTACCATTGCGTCAGCTGCCTCAGGTTCCCTTCAGCATCGCCCTGCGTTCGCCTCCCAACACCAATCGCATTCCGTACCGCGGTACCGTCCTGAAGCTTGTCTGGGGCTTGCCTGAAAGCTTAATGCCGATCGAGCGAGTGCGGCAAGTGCGATCTCCACTACCGCCCAAAGCTCGACCGGACGGCCGGGTCGCACGTGAGAAAGAGTGCGCTCCCGGGTTCCTCGTGAGTCAAACGTCTGCGGAAAATGCCGCATGGACTGTATGGGCTGTACGCAGCTCGCTCAGATGCCGCAGTCCGCCGTGGCCCGGCGTGATGTCACCATTCCCCGAGCGCCGCAAGCGCGATCGTCGCTTTCATCGGCTAGGCTCATACAACGTTGCTAACATACACACCCGCTCTACGTCTACGTGATCCCCAACAGAAATGATTATACGACTCCTAAGATGACACCGGTCTCCCACCAGCCAACTACTGCTCATCGTCTTGCGTGCTCTGTCTGAACTCTCCAAACAGACTTTCCGAGAGACCCGAGACGTTCGAGAGGGAGATCTTCTTCCCCTCCCTCGTAACGCAGAGGCCCCCGCACGCCTTCCCCTTTCTGGGTCGAGCCCGTCGCCATCGCTGTGGTAACTTCAGCTGGAACGAGTTGCAGTTGCTCTCGCAGTGGTAACTCTGCTAGTGCGCGCATTGCCCACCGTCGCAACGACAACTCACTGCAGTGCGCATCGCGGACCTCTCTGCGCGATCCATCCGCTTACTGCTGCGAAGGAGCGTCCGGGGATAACCATCCCCCTAAGCAACGTAGACAGCCCATGCTCAGACAGAAGCCTTGGCATCCTCCCAGAACTCCTCGTCGCACTCAAACCACCCACCCCTCAGCATTCCCGCAACTTGCTCCGCGCTGCGTAGGGTGACCATCCCCCCGTCATCGGAGAGAACTACGTCTTCAGCAGGCAGACCCTCCGCCTTCCTTAAACTCCTGAACGCCGCATTGAGGGCCGCCTCATGCTGTCCCGGGAGTGGTGGCTCGTGGCTGTCGTCGGCGTACTCGAACCGATCCGTGAATTCAACAAGTAACGAGCTGGGCGTCTCCCCACCCCTGGAGTGGGCCAGTGTGGCGCGATGCCGGCGGCGAATGTCCCGCCGCCGCAGGGAGAGAAACTCGAGTTGTGACGCGTACACGGGCCAGAAGTGGCGGTTCTCCCGCGCTCGCAGTCTGCGATGTTCCCCCTCCGAGACGGCGATGACGTCCGAATCGGGGACGTAGAATTGGTGTCCTGAGATGTTCTCTACTAGCCAGAGCATCTCGGCCTCCTTCTTCTCGTCCCCTGTGGGTGTGGGTTTGATGATCTCGAGGATGGGCTCGAGTTCCTCTGCCCCCGCTGCAGGGTTCAGGTATGCCAGGAAGCTATCCTCGCCCTCCTCCTCTTCGTCCAGAGGCTTGGAGGGGGGAACGGACAGACGGCTAGTCGAAGCTGAGAGGGACGTGGGCCGGCTCTTGAGGCTGGCCGCTTTGCCCAGGATAGGACTGGCCAGCACGCCCTCGTGCGTCGACACCTTGGCCGCGTGCACGACCTGCACATCGTAGCTGTACGTCGAGATTGTCGATGCCGCAGAGGCAGTGGTCTCGAGCGAGTCGGACCGTTCCGGGGCCGCACTGAGTCCCGACAGCTGTTTCTCCCACGGGCGCACCTTGTGTGCGCTACTGGGCGAGGGCGCGGGCGAGCTAGCCGGCGAGGAGATGGACGGCGTATTCGAGCGCGCGAACCGGGCACTCACCGGCCGGCCGACAGTCCGTCCGGGCGTGGTGCTGAAGGGCGTCGGCGATCCAGCCGTGCTCGACGGCGGCGTGGGGCCAGCCTGTCCCAGCATCGCGGCCCCGATCAGCGCCGCCGGAGATCCGGCACGTCGCGCGGGCGTCTTGGGACTCAGAGGCGGCGTGTGCATCCCACTCAGGCCCATCATGCCCACCGGCGCTGTGCGGCGCTTCCACTCATTGCCCTTGCTCTTCGGGATGGAGGGTAACGGACCCGCATAGCTCATGCGCTGTGGGCGGAGAGGCTCATCGGATGCGGTTGAGGAGAGAGACACTCGGCGCTCCTCGCACTCGATTTCAGCGGGCGAGCGAGCGTCCTCGAGAACCCGGGCTGCGAACCAGACTGGCCGGTTCAAATATCGGTACGCGATGTAGGTGAAGCTCGTGGGCAGTGTGTCGGGGCCGCGGTGCTGGGGTCAGTTCGGAGAAGGCCGAGGAACTCACCAGGCCCTCGGCATACGGTGCCCGAATGCCTGTTACGCTGTGCGCCATGGTGGTCGATGACGAGGTCGTCGAGTGTCGTTAGGAGGCAAAGGTAGTGATGGGAGATGCGATCAAGACAAGAATCGAGGTCGAGGTTGGTCAGATCAGCGATGTTGACCTGGAGCCTGAGATGGCGAGGCCGTCGAGAAAGTGAGCCGAGCCGAGCAAGGAGCAACTGTGTTGAGCGTGTGTCTTGCTGCGGGTGTTGCAGAATCGTTCAGAGCATAGCAGTGAGTGATGCAAAAGGTTGCAGACGTGCAGATCTCGACACGTCCGTCCTCGGCGAGGGGAGAGGGAGGGGCGTTCGGGCGTCGCATCGCAGAGCACAGTGCGGCGTGCGGGGCGTGTCTGGTCCTGGTATCCAGGTGCATTGAGGATCGAGCACTTGGCCCCAGCGACGCTGCTGGGCAGCACTTGACGCATGCCGCCAGTGAATGAACGCGCGCCCAGTCCGGGTCTTGAATGTCAGGAAAAGGGTAAAAGGAGAACATAAGGAAACACGTAAAGGAAAAGAGATCGCGCTTGGACCGAGATTTCTGTTCTGAGCGATGGACGCCATGCACATTTTGCCCCTGGATCCCTTTCACCGTGTGGACACTTTGGGCGAATTGAGCTGTCCTGAGATGTGAGTTGAAGCCATTCGTTCCGTTCGTTCCTACGGCTCCTCGTTGCCCCGCCTTCTCTTGCAGTGCCTACCGGATGCATGTGTTCATGCGGCGCCGAAAACGGGTGTCTGAGGCGTCGGTGAGGACCTCCGTCCCGGAGTTCCTAGACGACGGCAAGTCCGTTTGGTCCTGGTTTGGGCCTGGTTTGATGCCGTGTTGGAGTCCGATCCAGCGCAGGACTGCTGCACGCCGAGAAGACTCCATACCTGACGCGATACCTGAACGAAGACCCGGGCGACCCCTGCCTAGCTTTCTCCTGACAACAAGCCAACCACACGAGACATTGGGATTCTGATGCAGCCAAGATATACATGTGTACAACGTGCTCAAATCTAATCTAGTCCTTCTATGTGGCCATGCGATTGTGACAGAGATAGGGAGGGGCCAAATGTTGGAAAGAGGTCGGGAGGCAAGGTGTCCGTGATTCTACTTCGGGAACTTCTTCGCCATCGCCTCGGCATCGACAGCCCCACCGGCACGGAACGCTTTCCAGATCGCAACTTCCTCGCGCCAAGTGTCCATGACGCAAGGACAGCAGCTGGAGCCACAGCAGGCCTGGGCGTTAGCACATTGCTTGTTCATGTCACGCAGGGCGTCGGGCTTGGAGACAGGGCAAGGGGCTCGGAAGCGAGAACAGTGGCCCCTTGCACACTGCAGATGTAGCTGTAGCAGAGCTCGCTGCGCTCCCGCAGTTGCTTTACTCCGCCGCCCTCGCAACGGGTCCGCCTTCAGCGGCCCCTTGGTTCGCTACTCACGTCGGCATCCGGCTCCTCGGGCTGCGTGTCCGCCATGATCTTGTCAAGCAGATCGTTGGCGCGCGACGGCGTCAGCCGCTTGATGTCCGAGTAGTCCTGGACAAAGTCGCGCACGTCGTCCTCGTCGGGAATGATGGTCTGGGTCATGGTGGTTCTCTGCTCGTCGGTTGTCGATAGTGTATTCGCAAACTCGAGCGAGGGGTTGATCGGGGCGTACTGAAATTCGTTCACCGAGTGGTGGCAAAGGTGGAGGTAAGAACACCAGTGCGGATCAACGGACACTCGCGGACACGGAAAAAGCGAGTTGAATATTGCCGGAGACCCTGGATTCTTCGGCTGCAGCTTATCTGATCTCCGAAGTTTGAAGCACGTCTGTACGTCTGGCTGTACCAACATGGAGGATGCATCGAGGCCCAAGATTACAAACATCTTTTTACAACAGAACCATTCGATCCACTGTCCCGTCGTCCCGTCTTACATGTATGTGCTCTATAACGCCACGCTTAGTCGAGCTTGCCACCGAAACCGGCGACGAGGCCCTGGATCAGCTGCTTCTTAATCGTCATGCCCTCCTTGAAGCGGCACACGATCCACTGTCCGTTGCCGCGCGAAGCGCCGGCACGGACGACGAGCTCAGCCGCCATGCGGCCAGTGTTGATCCTGTTCTCACCGTCCGCCTCGCCACCGGGGTCGAGCGTCGCCTTGAGCGCACGCCACGCATCCTCGAGAAGCATCTGCTCCGGGTCATCGCTCGGCGTCGAGTCCGGGTGCGAGCCACCGAAGGGGCACGGGAATGACTGGCACAAGCGGGTCGCAAAGATGAGCAGTCCTGGGTCGTTGACGACGTGCGAGTCGGACAGGTGGCAGCACGCCTTCAGGCGCGTGAGTAAGTCAGGCTGCGACACGGAACCGGCACCGGTAGCGGGCGACATCGGCGAAGGCTTCGACGAGTCCGCAGTGAGCGGCGTTGGCTGCTGGTTGATGCCAGGCAGCTGCGGGGGCTGCGGCTGCGGCTGTTGCTGCTGCTGGTTCTGGCGGTTCTGGTCTCCGTTGTTGTTATTGTTGTTGTTGTTATCAAACATGGAGAAGATAGGGAAGGGGTTGGGGGACGGTGCCTTGAAGTCAAGATTACCCGTGTTGTAGTCGAAGTGCGGCTCCGGCGAGATCGGGAGCTGGAACGGCGTGGGGAGGTTGAAGTTGTACGGCGCAGGCAGGTCAGCCGCCGACGAGAAGAGCGGGATCGCTCCCGTCGTAGCGTTGGGCTGGGGAGCAGCCTGGCCGGGCGTGTTGTTCGATGGCTGGTTGGCCGTGGGGAGTGTGTTCTGGGCAGTCGTGACGCTGGGCGAGCGGCCGTGAGAGGACCGATCGTCATCCGTGTCAGACTCTCCGAGGCGGGCGTCGGGCGGCAGACCCCTCGCGATACGCTCGCGAGCACGAGCCTCCTTGCGTGCACGCACACGCTCACTCATAGGCACTCCTCCATCCTTGAGCGACTTGCCACGGCCAGTGGGACCCGATCCAATCTTTGGCCGGTCGGCCTCAGGCAGCGCAAGCAGGGCACGCAGCTGCGAGTTCTCAGTCTCGAGAATCAGGATGCGCTCCTCGAGGGTGGCGAGGTGCTCTGCACGGCGAAGACGGAAAGCACGCTGGACCTCGCGCGCCCTTGAAGGGGGCAGCTGGTCATTCGGCTTACGTCCTCTCGGCTCATGACGATCCTGCAAAGGGGGTCAGTAACGTATTCGTGAGAAGCGATGAGCATCCGGGGTATGGTGGGTGGCAAACCCATGGGGCCCAAGGACCCATGACATCCAGTGCAGAAGGTGGTAAGGGGTCAAGAGAGATAAGATGAGATCAAGGTGCGGGGGTGGGCCGTGAGGAAGGAACCCGTGTCCCCCAAGACAAGAGATGGTACATGGGATGCGATGCGAGGCCGAGGTGCCCAGTGCTACTACTCACCTTGTGGGCAGTTCCTCCTTCGGGGGTGGATGCGGACTGGCTGCCTCCGCTGGGCTTTGTCTGCGGCTGGTTCGTACCAGCATTGTTGGCAGGAGAAGCGGACGGGGCGGAGGTGCCGCCATTCACAGGTTGTGTCGGCTTCGCGTCGGCCATGGTGGACGCTGCTGCTGCTACGCTAGGATGGTGGTGTGTGTTGGTGGTGACCGGTGGTTGAGCTCGTTGACGCAGTGGCTATTGCAAAAACTGACGGGTGTGTGAAATCGGTTCGTCCGTCGGCGTCACGCGGCATTTGCAACTTGGCGAAGCCAACTGCCTGCAGACACATTTCTCCTCCGTTTCGCGTTTTCGCCCCACGATTTACTCATGCATTAGCGGAACCAGTTTCACTATTAGACCTTGCGTCAAATGCCGCCATTTCAACGCGGCGGGGCGGTGCTAATGCAATGTCGTGCTTCAGCTTGAAGCCAACGCACAAAACACGAACCCGCCCTGGCCCACCACCACGTTTGAAAAAACACCCAGCCAGAAACCAAAGAGCCATTCGTGTTGCTGGTCAAATAACGATGCATCGTCCTCCAAGCACCAGATCCACCGTTATCTCCTTATCTCCAGCGCCAATCCCCGAGATCACCTTTTGCAACAGCATCCGATATCTAAGATATGCGTTGACTTATGCAGTGATTATGTAAACGCCACATCTGATCGCACAGACGATCGAGTATCACATGTGCTGGCTCGGCAGGCTCCGCTCACATCCTCACAGGTCTATTAGAGCTCTGGAACGAGAGCGGGCAGCAGCTCCGATCGATACCAGAGATCAGTCCCAACATGTGATCATTGCAATGTGTTCGACGATCTGTGTGTTGCAAACACAGGTGGCGTGACATCTCCCTATTACCACGCCCTCGATAGGCAGATCTCGCCGATGTCAACATGGAGCTCCAGACATGTGCCTGCATGCAATCTGTGCGTTAGGCATTATGTGGGGCGTCGACGAGTGCCTCCGAGGAGATCTAGAAGAGTGGCCGTTGGAAACATGATCTGATAGTGCCACTGAGGTCAGTGGCACCTGATGATGCCACACGAAGCAACGCCTGCAATTCAATCGTCAACGCCTTCTTGGAAATCACAACACTGCATCATGTTGGAGTGGCTCGCTTAGGTGCATGCTGACGAGCGGTGTGAGCATCTTCCGGTACATCGCTTTTGCTGGGAAGAGGCAGGCTAGTTTGGCTGCTAAGTGCAGTCACGTGAAGTATGATTGTGGCATCAATCGGCACCCCACCTCCTTCCTCCACCTGCACGGCATATTGGCGAAGGGTAAAAGGCCGAACTGATCAAACGACCAGCTCTCAGTGGTCCACTGGATGGTGAACGTAACAATTAGGATGTATCACGCGTGCAATGTAATCTGGAATGGTTGCATCAGCCTAAGAGCTTGTGCAACGAATCGGTTTCGGCGACCCAATAATTCATGGTTGTTACTCCTAATTATCAGCAACGCCATAATCGTAATGCACATGACTGGCGTCACCGGCCACCACAGGCCACAGGGGCCGATAGGTGCGAGATGCCTGTACCGAGGAGATCGACAGCCGAGTGATACAGGCTGAGGATTGGGCGATGAAGGACCAGGACGATTACGAAATACCACGTGTTGATCTTCTTCGGGCATTGGACCCCGTGGTACGCAAGCCCACAGCGCTCCATCGCCGCGCGGCAGGAGGGTAAATGGCCGATCCATTAACACATCATGTGGTCGGTCATGCTTCTGGATGGGAGATCCTGGTCACCTGCTCGCTGCTGTTTTCCACTCTGGCTGTGTCATTTCAATAACAGCTCCAACCGCCCTCTTGCCATATGAGTTCCGTATAGACACCGACGCCGACGCCGATTGATGAATATGGCATGGCCGCCGATGCGTAATGGCCGGCGAGGACGATTATCACCTCGCCCGGCAGCATTTCACAGAAGTGGAGCTCCAATTCCAGTACTTGGGGACGCCGAGCGCCAAACGGGCCGTTCTCCGTGACTGGCAACGGTGAAAGAGTCTGGCCTCGGAATCAAACGCACCGTTGACACATGAAAGAGCAGCCAAGGGCCTAGTATCACTAATAGTTTTCCTGAATGTGGCCATTCTGTCCAATAGGCAGCTGGGAATAGTCGTCATCGGGCCAGAAAATCCAATCAGGCCCTGCACCGACATCACATCGCTTCCTGCCATGCAGCTCGGATCTGGGCTCCGTACGGTGGTGCACTGCCTGACAGCGACGTATCCGACGCAGGCGACGGTGCGGCCTATGCGGTGCTACGCGGCCAGCTGATTATCACACCTGACTAGCCAGAAACTCACACTGCCAGGCTCGCTATGTGCGACACCCAGCGTTGTTATGTGCGAACTAGTCTAAAGTGTTATCACACCGTCCACGGAGCCTGTGCCAAAGCCTATTGTGTTATCACACGGTACGCCTGCAGCATATTGCTGTTATCACACGAGATCAAGCATCTTTGGCGCTACACAGTGCCATCGCACATGCATCATTTGGTTTCATGTGTGTACGTGTGTGTGCGTGTGTGTGTTTGCACAACGTGACCGACAGTGCGACACGACACGACACTATCACTGTTGCGAGATCTGGCAGAGCTGACGCCGAGGTGTAATAGCCCGTTGCAATCTCCGGCCATCAACGCCAAGCTCGGAGCTCGCTATGCCAAGTCGGCCCCCATTTCGCACATCACGACCTGCATTGTGCAAGTCTGGGTCACTCTGCCATATCTGAAGCCAGTCAGGCTTGTTCTCCTCCCAATACTTCGTCCAATGCATTGCTCCCAGCGACGTCATGTGATCTACATTGCCGATCTTTAGGCGCACCGTTCGTTTGGATGTGCATGGACCTTTAGATATTGGAGACGAAGGAAGTCCGTATCGGGCCCCCCAATAAACAACAGAAGCAACAGAGTCTTCTTGTGTCATCTATCATGGCCAATGCCTTCCTTGTGCTGCATCATATCTCGGCCCGGCCGGGCGAGCGTGGGTGCGAGAACGCCACCGCTCGCCCAGTAGCCTGTCCGCGGCCGCCCAAGTCGCCGGGCATGAAATGAAATGACATATCGCACTCAAACCACGCAGCGCAAGACCGGATCGAACGTCCGCTCTCGCACCCCGATCAGAGAGTTGCAATCATATCTCGCTCCTTCTGTGCCTGGTGAGAGGTTGCACTTAGCGAGCTTAGATGTGATAGAATCAGAGAAGGCGGCGAGACTCCGCGATATCTCCCATCACGCGCCCGCCATGTGCGATGATCCACGGTCGGATTCGGGGCTTCGGACCGCCCGTCACTTTCAAAGACCGGGTCCCCATTATCACAGCCACCTGCCCGCGCACCCTGCCCCCTCCATCATATTGTAATTGAAATCAAGTGCTCTTTCGTTATACGCCCGGTTAACTGCTCTGGAAGAATATTACTGCGTGCCTTGTATGCGCGCGATCAAATGCAGTCCTCGTTGTGCAATCTCGAGCAATGATCTGGGCCCTATCTCGATGCCGATCCTCGGCACGCTAAGATGTGAGACGCCGTGTGATATGGCTGCCGAAGGAGCTCAATTATCGCGGTCTGTATTGCACAGGTGCCTCTCAGCTTTACGGACTAGATGCTCGGCGGACACATCCCAGCCGACACATTGTAGCATAGGTGCTATCCATCCCTAGGGCTGCCAATACCGCCGTCAGATGTGTCCGGCCATCACCTTTCGTGCTCCTGGGTGTGCTATCCACTGCTCATGGCTGTTCATGCCGATGTCGGCTCTGAGACGTTTGGGCAATTGCACTGCAAAATGTGTCCGATGATAATGCACACGCTCTCTGGCTCGTCATCAAGCGGAGTCCGCTTCCATATGTCCATGCCTAGCACCTCTGCTGCCGCCTCTCCTGAGTCTCCGTCCGTGCGCCTGCCGTCGACTCTTTGGTGTGCCGGGCATCTAGGATGCACTCCTCCCGGGCGCTGCTCGTACCCGAAACTAGGGGACGGACTATCGGTAGAGGGCGATCTACAGACCAGATGTGTCCGATCGACACCAGCCTTTGATATCAGTGCGCACCGAAGCCGCTTCCCTTACACATGCATGTACAGCACCGTAGAAAAGTTCATTCCCGAGCGAAGGATGTGTCCGACGTGCATACGACCAGATGAAGCACAGATGCACATGCCGTTTGCGGATGAGTTCAAGCAGTCTCATTTTTGAGAGGCGCCATACTGGACGGGTGCCACCATGGCGCAACGACAGTTAAGTGGTTGCACGTGACAATCTCCAAGCGTCTGCCGCAACCGTGGGAGATGTCGAATCTGCGAAGAGCTGTCTCCAGCCGTGAAAGGTGACGTAGAAGTTCGTCCATTCCTGGCGGAAATAACAGTTCCCGCCCTAGCACCGGACCGAAGAGATCGACAGGTTGACCGTTCCACGGATCTCAACGTCGAAGCGCGATGCAAGCGCCCGGGGTCTTTACAGGAACTACCCGGATGTACTGGGATGCCGATGGAGCTCGTCTGCAACAGTGTGCTGAGCATAGATGCCGTGCAAACCCGCAGCGGTCGTATGCATGTCGCCGGGACGTCGTAGACCATCCTCCCCACCAGTTGCGACACCGATATCGCGGCGCGGCCATCTGACGGCCTCCGCACAGTTATCCGCTCACTCTGCCGCCCCCCAGAGCGGCTGAAGCGGTCAGTGAACCGGCAACTAACAGCCTCCCAAAAAGCTCTAGGCCGTTGAATCGAGTGGGATTCGAACCCACGATGCATACGCACTCGAAGAATCCTGGTCGGATCAAGTCGCAGAAACTTGAGTCGAGCCCCTTAAACCGGACTTGGGTATCGATCCGCGTCTGGCCTGCCGGGCGGGACCCCGGCCACTTCTCGTTCTCTGCCCAGCTCGCCGGCCCGGTATCTCGGCACGCTTTACTGCTACCATTTCAGCAGCTCACCGTGCATGCCGTACACCGTCCGGCGATGCTGAAGTCGGCGAGATACCGAGCGTATCACTACTCGGGCCGTTTCCCAGCAGGCAATGGGCGGCATGGTCCGGGTGCACACAAAGAAGTGCCGGGTCATGAGCCGGTTGCCGGTGTGTTGCTCGTGAGTCGCCGTTCCAGAGGCCTACGTTGCCCACGGTACCGGCCGTCTTCTGGCCGTTCTGCCCGCTGCCCGGCGTCTACGGGGTCTCCGCGCCGCGGATGTACGCATCTACGGCACGGTACCATTGCTTCGGCCCTCCGATCCGGGATCTGCGGCAAGTTCCATTGCTTCTCGGCGCCTTCTCCGGGATCTGCGCGGTCCAGGCCTTGTTCCGAGCCCCGGTGTTCCGGCGTTCTGGTCCTTAGTCCTCCGCTCAGTGCGCCGCTTGCATTCCTCCGCTCGCACGACGCCGCTTCTCCTCCGCTCGTGGACGGTGGGCACCCCCCCCCCTCTCGGCCCCCACTTGCTCGCTCACCTCGCCCTTCTCGCCCCGATCTGCTGGCCCCAGATCCCCGCCGGCAGCAGAGATCCGCCGAGACCGCCGTCTGCCCACCTCGTTCGACCATGCCGTGCCCGGCATGCGTCGCCTGAGCGTTTCTGACGCCGTTTCGGAGCATTTCTTGGCACGAAGATGCGCCGACCGCGCCGTTGCCGGCGCAGCAATACGCCGTCTGCGCCGTGCCGGGCTCGGCATCGCTGTTTTCTGATTATTTTGAGGTCGCCGGGGTATCTTGGCAGGTCGCATTTCTCCTATCTGATTGCAGAGTTCGTCACCGGTCGCCGTAGAGAATGATCTGCAGCGCCATGTTCCACTGCGCTGGAATCACCGGTCACCGCTGACTACTACCTGATGAGGTGCCCGCTGATACCAATCGATGGGGACGAAGATTGCCTTCTGTCCGGGTGAGAGGTGTGGGTGACTTGCCAGCTCGCCGTACCGCCGTGGATAGGTCGCCGCAATTTTTCATGGGCGGGGAGCTGGGAGCGGGCAGATCAGGGCACGACGCTAAGGGAGATATCCACGTGGCCGATGAGCAGGCACCATCCACCCAATCATCACCCTTCTTCTTTGCGTTCAAAAGGGAACTCTCACTTCAGCTCAGGAAGAGCTACATGCATGCAAAAACTCTCACCACTGTGAGTCGAACACAGGACCTGCGGATTGAATGCTTCGTACGAAGCGGAGGTATCAGATTACAGTCCGACGCTCTACCAACTGAGCTATGGTGAGGTCACGTGAGTGCTGAGCTAGGCGTCGAGATATCCACGTGGCATGGAGTTCTGCGCACAGGATCGCCCTCACCTTACGCCCCGTCTCGAGTCAATACCTGGCCCAGGCCCTTGCGCTCATGCGCTTCGAGGGGAAACAGGATCTTCCTGCACACGAGGCTCGTGGCGTCGCTACCGTGATAATCACTTGTCCATTCAGGCACCTGTTGGGCTGATGTCTCAGCCTACGGCTGAATCTACTTCCCAACATCGTCACCCAACTTCATCTGCCTGCCACCACCTCCAGACTCCTCCGCCCTCTCTTCCCGGTCCCGCATGATCTAAAAAGTGTCTCACCACTGTGAGTCGAACACAGGACCTGCGGATGAACTCGCCTGATCAGGCGGCTTGGGAAGTTTACCAATTACAGTCCGACGCTCTACCAACTGAGCTATGGTGAGGAGGCTCACGTCATGTCTAGGCGCAGGGCGCCGATCTGCGGGGGCGTCGGAGCGTCCGGGCGGGCTGGGAGGGGCGTGCCTGAGCCAGAAATCAGGGCCGCGGTACACACAAGCTTGGCGCGTCTGCCACATTCAACTGATTGGTTCGTGGCGGGGCGAGGCATCTTCCATAACTTGGCGATGACCTTGGGAGGCATTCTCGATGCTCCTGGACCATGCAGGGGCGGCACGGGGGGCCAAAAAGTGTCTCACCACTGTGAGTCGAACACAGGACCTGCGGATTGCGCGCCCGTTCGGGCGGCGAGGAAAGGATGGGAGTTTTCAGTTACAGTCCGACGCTCTACCAACTGAGCTATGGTGAGGATGCTCACGTGGGTCTGGGGCGTGGGGCAGGGATCTGCGGGCGCGGGGTCGGCGCCGTGCCTGAATCAGTTAGACTTCTGGAAGTCCCACTTGAGATGCTTAGGACATCCGTCACTGCCACATCTAGCCGATTTCTTCGAGGCGGAGGCCGGCTTCACTTCGCCCTCATCACCAGTGCTTCGGCAGGTGACTTTGGAGGACGTGGGTGTTCACTCAGCAGCCAAAAAGTCTCACCACTGTGAGTCGAACACAGGACCTGCGGATTACTCGCCCGGTTGGGCGGCCATAAGACCTTAGGATTGGGTATCAGTTACAGTCCGACGCTCTACCAACTGAGCTATGGTGAGGAGCACTGAGGGGCACGTGGACAGCGCCGGTGCCTGGGCCGTGAACGGTCGCCCACGCTGCATGCTCTGCCCAAAGCATACTTGTGGACATGTTGTGTGCGCGGAGGAGATGTTGCGGCTGCTGCTGAAGCGTGCATCGGGTTTTCCTTGTTTTACACATTTTCCGGAGTTTCACGCTCCACACCGTTATGTGTTACCGGATAGCGTGTCGCTGACACGAGTCTTCTCGAGTTGTGTGCAACTTGTCGTTGTGTGCCCAAATGCGGACGATAGTGCAGGTCATTGCTTACTCGGCCAACGGGGGACGTATAGCTCACTTTAACCCTCATTGATCGCCCTAGTAGCCTGCTAGACACCACCTGTCCACCCCCTTCCGCTCCCACCCTCCAGCTTTCTCCCCGAAGGCTGCAGAGAGGCAAAAAGCTTCCTGTCGGAGAATCGAACTCCGATCTCCCGCGATCACCATGACAAGCGAGCATACTAGCCGTTATACGAACAGGAAATTGCTATGTCCATCTCCTCTCAGCAGCGCCGTGGCCGGCGGCGCCGTCGCTGCTCGGAGCAGCGCGGAGGGAGGTCGGGGATGGCGTTGGGGTCTGTTTCGGGGTCGGGGTAAGACCCTTAGAGGGTCTGGAGGCAAGGTGCGGTCGGGTGTGGCACTTGACGTCGAGGAGGGGTGGGTGCCACATTGGGCTGTGTGTACGCCATACCATGCTGCGCCCTCCGCATGCCTCACGTGTAGTGTTGTACCAAGTACGGTTGGGAATGCCTGAGGAGGTACAGTGGAATGTTAAAGGAGGGATGATCGGCGATGGGACACGGGGCGCCAGGGGGCTCAGCCGGCCCCCGCCTACCCCTGGCGCGCCAACGCCCGCGCCTCCGGACGACACCGATCCCTCTGTCCTCTCGTTGCTCTCCACGCAGTCCGTCCCTGCGCCCCCGTTTCGACACATGCACATGCACACAACCCTGGTCGTGCCCCTTGGTTCCAGCGTGGTCCAGTCCCCACTCATCCCTCGCGTGCATCGCCTGAGGCCCAGCTGAGGGGCTGGTAGTTGCCACCCGACCAGTTGCCAGCGGGTACTTAATTTCGATCCTGTCACCTCTCTCCATCAACTCACTCATTCTTATAATTACTCATAACCCTTCATACCCCCCTTCTATTCTCCAGGAAGTCTGCTTCGCACTCCCAGTCAACTGCCTAGGCCAGACTGCGAGTGCACTCTGTGCTCTTAGCCGCAGGTAGTGGAAAGCATGTCCGGCCCCATCCTCCGCATCAAGCCGCCATCGAGCTATCGCCCTGGCGAGCCGTGGTTCCATGTCGACGAATTCGCCGAGGCAGAGGAGAAGCCCCATTTCGCCGTTGTAAGGATACTCGCCGTTGGCACATACTGTGGAGCAAAGGGGAACTCACGACATGCTAGCGCTCCGTGTTCATGTTCCCGCGCCGTCTCCGCACGACCGAGTACACGCGCGCTGTGGGCCGCGTCAACTCGTACTTGCGCGATATTGGTCGTGAGCTGCGGAGAGGAGGGATCGATAGCTTACAGTCAGTGAGCCAGTATGAGCTCAGACACACGGAGCAGTGGCATACGACGCCTTATGGGCCGCAGCTCGTCACTTGCCTCTCTGTCCTGTTGCCGCAGGCACTCGACGGGCACGAGAACGGGATCGCGCGCCTCATTGCTGGCAGTGCCGAGCACGACGCTGGCGCTATCAGGTGAGCTTTCTTAGTGCCTCTGCCAGCTGACAGCAGGGTGTGGGCGGCAACATACCCCATCGAGGCGGGCGTGCAGTATCCTTCAGCCATGTAACTCCCCTCACTACCACCAACGTAGAATAATGACTACTCCTGCATCTAATGTATTTTTAGTGTGATATCCATTACATACGAGCCTAACCTGTCTGTCTACGATTTTAACTACGAGCCGTTGATCTTGTTCTTGACGCGCGTGAGGTACTGGGCGTAGCTGCTCATGTTGTCCATGCGGTCCTCGATGAGGAGGCTGAGGGCCCACGAGCGCAGCGCCGGCTCGGCGTCGCTCTTGACGACATAGAGGTGCGGGCGGTAGATGCCACGGCGGAGCTCGCGCGTCTTGGCAATGATCGCGTTGACGCGCTGGTTGAACGGGTTATCCAGCTGCGGCAGCGTGTACTTGCCGCCCTGCAGGTCGGCGTACGAGTTGAGGTCGAACACGTCCTGGATGAGTCGGGGGACGGCCTCCTGTCCGACCCAGAGGAAAATGTTCTGACCGTCCTCGATCAGGAACAGACCGTGGCGCTCCAGGCGCTCTGACGTCAGGTTCATCGCCGGCGGCATGATGACACCCTGCTCGCCAATCGTACCAGCCTCTGCGGGCATGTTGTGGAGAGAGTAGAAGCGAGAGTGGATGTAGGGGATGAACGACTGCACAGGTAGCGTCGTAAGCAGGTCCTGGGCGTATGCTCGGAGGTCGGGGGGAATCGTCGAGCCCTCGCGCAGACCGACGTGCTTGATCATGGCACAGCACAGTAGCGGCAGGAGCGAGAGGTTGGCGGGAACAGCGAGCTGAGCAGAGGCACCGGCCGAACCAGCGACCTGGTTCTTGTAGACCGAGAGCATGTCGCTGAGGCGGTTCGTGATGAGGTTGCGCGCGTCCTCCAGCGACGAGCCGGCCCAGACCTTCTCGATGGCCTTGTTCGACAGGTAGTTGGCGATCGCCAGCTGGTCGGCGGAGGCGTACAACTGGGCGATGGAGTCGGTCGTCGGCAGGGCCTGCGTGATGACACGGATACGGCGCTCGCCGTAGCAGGTCGTGTGCAGGATAGCGGTCTGCAGCACAACGAACGGCTGCTTGAGGTCGTCCTCGAGCTGGAGCTCAATGCAGTAGTTCTGGTCGACAGGGAGAACGGGGAGGGCAAGCAGGTCGGTGGAGCGGATGAAGAAGTTTCCGTGGAACGCCGACATGCGGATACCGCGCGAGGCACGCACACGGATGACAGCCTCGAGACCGATCGGGGTGGCGAGCGACTTGCCGAACTCGGTGGCAAACTTGATCGCGTCCTCTGATCGCGACGCGTTGAAGCCCGGGTAGAGGTAAGTCTGGCCAGCAGTGTAGCGGGGAAGGCACGACAGCGTCGAGACGTCGGTGTAGGTCGAGGAGAACAGCCACATGTCGACGGAGACCTGCGACTTGGAGCACTCGATCGCGAACGTCTTGTAGAAGTTGGACTGCGCAGTGAGCAGCGAGCTCTCCTTTGAGGTTCCGAGGAGCTTGGGGTCGTCACGAGCCTTGAGGGCGCCAGTGCCCAGCGTGGGCAGGGAGGCGCTGAGGGCAATGATCTTTCCACCAATCTTGCCGATGAGCTCGTGGGCAGCCTGGAGGGCGGAACCGAGAGCGTTGCCAACGACGTGGGTGTCCTGGAACATGTCACTGAGCTTGCCGAGCAGGTTCTCGATCGCTGGTCGGGACTCGGTGAGGTTGACAAGGAGGTCGACGGGCTTGGGGAGGAAGACATCGGTGAGGTCGGAAACAACGAGCATCGAAGCCTCCGAGTCCTTGCCAGCGGGAAGAGAGAAGAAGTGCAAGCTGGTCGAGACGGCAATGAAAGCGACCTTGGTGCGCTGGTCCTCGTTGGGAATGTTGTCGAGAGACTCGAGGATCGAGCGCGCGGCGGTCGCGACCATTCCCGACTGGATGGCGGGCTGGCTGACGTCGATGACGAAGCAGTACACGGGCGGCTGAGGAGGGCGGACCATGTATTCCGTAGGGGCGACGAACTCGACGACCGAGTTGTTGAGCTCCTTGCGCGCCCAGCGGTCGGCCGGCTTGTTCTCCCGCGAGTCCCAGTCGAAGAGCTGCGGCACCTCGTTGCTAAGACCGCACATGCAGCACTTCCAGCGGTTTCCTCCCTCAGTGAACGTGACGAACGGGTTAATGTAGACGCGGCAACGGCGACAACGGGCAATCACCGAGTCCGAGACAACCGGGACGGGCTCGTCCCCGTCCGACTCGCGGTAAGAGCGGTACGGGGCCATAACGAGAGCAAGGGGGAGCTTGCTCTTGTTAAGGAGGCCCTGCGTGGTGGGCATCGAGGAGAGGGTGCAGCGCTGGTACGAGGGGTCGGGGTGAATGTTGGGCGAGTTCGTAACCGACGCGTTGGAAGGCAGGAGAGCCGGGGGAGGGGGCGCATCGAGCAGGCGAACGTCGGGCTGGAGGCCGATGAGGTTGACCGTGTTGATGGGGTGGAGCTGCTTCGCCTCGAACTGCTGGCCCCATCCAGGCGGCTGGTTGTGGCCAGCGTATCCTCCTCCAACCTGGTTCATGTTCATCTGTCCGAACTGGTTGCTCATCTGGTCGACGCCGGACTGGCCATAGCCGGGCTGCTGAGCTCCAGGCTGCTGGAAGCCGGGCTGCGCCTGCTGCTGTCCCTGCTGTCCCTCCATTCCAGGCGTGAAGAACTGGCCGGGCTGCTGGAAGCCTCCCTGCTGCTGCTGCTGCATCGGCGCCTGGGGCTGGTTGAACTGGGGTGTAGCGGCCTGGAAGCCGGGCTGCTGCTGCTGGGCGGCTCCTCCATACATCTGCTCCATGTCGGCGACGGGGTACTGTCTCCTCTTCGAGTGGTGGTGGGACGCGGCGCCGCCAGCGGGGGCAGGGGAAGTCGAGGTCGCATGTCCAGTCGGGAACGAAGGGTTGGTAGGAACCTCCCACTGGCTCTGACCGGTCGCCTGGTCTGCATTGTCAGCGCGCGCGTTCCAATGAAGCTAATCGCGACGATCTTGTCGGCGTACTCACTGACGTAGACGTATTGGCCGGACCCAGCGTCCCTGCGTAATGTCAGCTCACGGGCGGATATTGGCCAGCTGTGAAGAAGAAGAGTTGTCGCAATGCTTGAAAGGCGGAGGCGGAAGGACCGCACAAACAATCGAGGTCTCCGGTGTCGCGCGCGACTTACCATCGGGCTTCCCAGCCCTGAGGGAGCATGATCTGTTGAACGTTCATCGTGCGCACAAACGCCAAGGATCACGGCGCACGGGGGGAATGAACGGTCGCTTTTGTGTGGGTTGTTGGATCAGGCGACGGGGTCGTCGGTCGTCGTTGACGCTGAAAGAGGTTCGATGCAAGAACGTGTAGCGATGAGGTGTCGATCGACGCTGGTGACGTGCAGTGAGCCGTGCCAGCGCGCCAGTGGATGCCAGCGCACCAGTCGTCACCCACCGCCAGGCACTGTATGCCCCGCCACATTCGGCGATTCGGCACAACCACGTGGCACAACCTCACCCAAGCAGCCCAGAGCCATGATGCAACCGCTCTAGAGACCATTGTTGTGAAGTTCGAGAGCGATAGCGCGGGCTGCAACAAGCTGCAACAAGACCTCGGCGGGCAGCAACATGATCCAGACGTCATTGCTCGCGACCGGCCATGCCGACTTGGTGACCTGTAAGCTCCCCTGATGGCTGAACGGAGCTGACGACAGACATCACCTACGACTTCTACGGCGAGCGACGTAAGCTGGGTGTCGCCATGGTAGCTAACGTCAGTCGCAACCTGTTCGGCGGACCAGAAGGTCAAGCTGTTCCGCAAGTCTGCGGATGGAACATGGGATGCTGAGACGGAGTGGAAGGTACGCAGCTCCCCTGAACCGTGCCAGAGCTAACACGCAGGCTCACGACGCTCCTATCCTGCACCTCTCGTTCGCGCACCCGATCCACGGCTCACTGCTCGCTACGTGTTCGCACGACCGCACCGTGCGGATATGGGAGGAGCTTCCTCTGTCAAACGCCTCAGCTACGGCTCCGCGATGGGCTGAGCGCGGCATCCTGTCGGGTGCCAAGGGCTCAGTTCGTGCTGTCGAGTTCGCCCCTCCGAACCCTTCAGTCGGCATGCGCGTCGGCTCGATCGCGACTGACGGCCACCTGCGAATCCACACCTCGCTCGACCCCGAGCTCTCGGACTGGTCGCTGCAGCACGACGTGCACGTCCCCTCCCTCAGCGGGGGAGACGAGGGCGGCGCCTTCCCCCCCGTGACGGTGGACGGGGCGGGAGCGAACGAGCTCTCGACGGGCGGCTGGGGCCTGAGCTGGTGCAAGGAGCGGTGGTGGGGCAGTGTCCTTGCCGCGTTTGCGGGCACGAGTCCCGCAGTCAAGGTGATCCAGCTGGACCCGCAGCCGCGCACGCTCGCCGTCCTCAAGCCGCAGAGCACGTCGCCGCTCACGAGCGTCGCGTGGGCGCCCTCGTGTGGCCGGAGCTACCACCTCCTCGCGACGGGCGCGCGTGACGGAACAGTGCGGATCTGGCAGCTGGCCCCGCCAGAGGACGAGAGCGGCAAGCAGTGGAGCTCCGAGATGATTGCCGAGTTCCCCAAGGGCGCGCGCGTCAGCATGGTTGCGTGGAACGCGACGGGAACCACCCTTACGACGTCGGACGACGAGGGCGTCATCCGCATCTACAAGCGTAAGTTGAGTTGAGAGCTACGTGAACTGACATTTCAGCGACGTACGCCAAGAACTGGAAGCTGCTCGGAAAGATGACGGCAGAGGACCCCATGTCCCAGCCGCAGACAGGCGAGGCGTAGCGCACAGCTACGCAGCGAGACTAGACCGTAGATGGCAATGTACTATTAGACGCAATGGGTATTGGGTATTGGAATATAAATATGATCTGCATGATCTCTACGACTAAACCCTATTAAACCGTGAGAGATTGTTTTTGGATAGTTCCCTTCTTAGAGGGCGACAATGCGCTCGCGCGAGTCGCGGAGCTCGACGAGCTTCTTGACGGCGACGTCGAGGGGGATGACCTCTCCACGTCCGGGGTCGGCGGCGTCACGGTTACGGATGTTGACGGCGTGGGCCTTCTGCTCCTCCTCGCCGACGACGATGATCATGGACGCCTGGGCGATCTGGGCGTTACGGATCTTCTTGTTGAGCGTGTTGTCCGTGAGGTCGACGTCGGCGTGGATGTCGGCGTCCTTGAACGCCTTGGCAACCTCCTCGGAGTACTGCTTGAACGGCGCCGCGACGGGGATGACGACGACCTGGCGCGGGTTCAGCCAGAAGGGCCACTTGCCGGCGCAGTTCTCGGTGATGATGGCGAGGAAACGCTCAAGAGAGCCGAGAATCGCACGGTGGATCATGACCGGGCGGTGGTAGCCGGGCTGCAGCTCTCCGGGGGCAACCTCCTGGTCCGCCTTGGAGGCCTCGGCACCGCGGTACTGCAGGTTGAAGCGCTCGGGGAGCTGGAAGTCGAGCTGAATCGTACCACACTGCCACTTGCGGCCGAGGGCGTCAGTGAGGTCAAAGTCGAGCTTGGGGCCGTAGAACGCTGCGTCCGCCTCGTTGATGTGCCACTTGCCAGGCACCTTGGCCTCGAGAACGCCCTTGAGCGCAGCCTCCGCCTTGTCCCAGACGGCAAGGTCACCCATCCACTTCTCCGGGTTACGGGTCGAGAGACCGACCTTGTACTCGAAGCCGAAGGGCTTGTAGACGGCGTCGAGGAAGTCAATGGCCGAGTAAAGCTCCTCCTCGATCTGGTCGACGGTACAGAAGATGTGCGCTGGATGTTAGCTAGCACAGAATCATAAAAGCATGTACTTACCGTCGTCCTGGACGAAGCGGCGGACACGGGTCATGCCGGAGAGAGCACCCGAGGCCTCATTACGGTGGAGGACACCGAACTCGGCGAGACGGAGGGGAAGCTCCTTGTACGAGCGGTCACGAGAGTCGAAGATGACACAGTGTCCCGGGCAGTTCATGGGCTTGAGGGCAAAGGTGTCCTCCTCAACCTTGAGCGTGAACATGTCCTTGGCGTAGTGCTGCCAGTGTCCAGAGGTCTCCCAGAGCTTCGAGTTGAACATGTTGGGCGAGCCGACCTCGACGAAGCCACGCTTGTGGTACTCCTCACGGATGAACTTCATGAGCGTGTTGTAGATGCGCATGCCGTGGGGCAGCATGAAGGGCGATCCCGGGGACAGGTCGGAGAAGAAGAAGAGCTCCTGGTCCTTGGCGATCTTGCGGTGGTCGCGCTTGGCAGCCTCCTCCTGGAGCTTCTTCCACTCGGTCATCTGCTTCGAGTCGGGGAAGGACATACCGTAGACACGCTGGAACGAGTCGTTCTTGGCGTCTCCAAGGAAGTACGAGGACGAGTTCTTGGTGACGGCAAGCGACTTGATACGGCCAGTGTGGGGAACGTGGGGACCAAGACACAGGTCAATGAGGGGTCCACAGCGGTAGACCGTCGACGAGGTGCCATCGGGGACCTTCTCGTTGATGTAGTGCTGCTTGTACTTGTTGTACTTGAACATCTGGAGGAGAACCTCCTTGGGAAGCTCGAGACGCTGGAACGGCTGCTTCTCCTTGACAGCCTTCTTCGAAATCTCCTCAATCTGCTTGTAGTCGTCCTGGCCGATGGTCTTGTCGTTGCCAAGGCTCATGTCGTAGAAGAAGCCACCCTCGGGAAGGGGAGGACCGTAACCAAGGCAGCACCCCTCGAACGAACGCTCACAAGCCTCACCCATGACGTGCGCGGACGAGTGCCAGAAGACCTGACGAGCCTCGTAGTCTCCTTCCGGCGAGTCGAAGTCGAGGAGGGCAAGGTTACATGATCCCTCGAGAGGGCGGGTGAGGTCCCAAAGCTGCTGGTTGTTGACCTTGGCGATGACAGTGCGGTCAGCGAGCGACGACGAGATGCCCTTGGCGATCTCGAGCGGGGTGGTCTCCCAAGCAGTGCCCTGGATCTGCTTTCCATCGGGGAGGGTGACGGTGATGGGCTCACGGGGCTGCTTGGCAACAAAGTCCTGGTACTTGGCCATGTACTCGTCGAAGATCTTGATGCGCTCCTCGAAGTACTCGGGAGGGGGGCTCAGCTCAGAGATACCGCCCTTCTTCTCCTTCTTCTCTTTCTTCTCCTTCTTGTTCTGCTGCTTCACCTGGTCGGCGGGGGCTGCGACAGGGGCCTGAGGCTTGACCTCCTTGACCTCTCCGGCAGGGGCGGCGGGAGCGGACATGTTGTCGTTGTTTGCGTGGTGTTGGCAAAGACGAATTTGAGTGGCGATGTAAGAGGGAGGGGGAATAAAAGCACGGGGGACAGGGGCAAGGGGGATCGAGCGGGAACGCTGAGCGACGGATTGGGTAACTCTAAAGGAAGCCGAGAGGATGCGGCTGCTGGTCATATACGGGACTTCGAGTCGGAACACCGAGACAGAGAGGAGTCGGAGTGTCGGTGCCGGGATGAGCGATGGACTGGGCTAGTTGAGAGATAACTAGCTAACTCGACTTTTTCGAGTCCTAATCTTCGCGTACCTCTCGTCTCGTTGTGGGCGTCAGAATCTGGCAAGTCGGCGGCCAACAATAGGACCCTGAGTGCAACCAAGCCGTGGGAGGCGTGCCAACACGTGGTCGCAGGCGCGGAGCCAAATGCCACGCCTATCCTGCGATCGACCGCGCCCCTGCTAACCGTGCTCCTAAGTCTGTCATCACAAACGACTAACTTTGGCGGTCAGTACCCGCGACAACATTACCTCGCGGACACCATCCTCGACCACCACCCTGCAGCTCCGACCTCGTCTCCTTTCAATCTAGACAAGGGCTGCTAGGGACACACCTCTCTTCCGAAATGGCCGAAGAGCAGCCGTCCGGCGGCCGCATCCACACCGTTGCCGGCCCTGGAGCTACCGAGGTCGACATCGACCTCGACACGCTCGGTGAAGCCGAAGTCGCCGACGCCCTTACCGATCTCCTCACCGACTACTCCGCCGAATGCAAGGAATGGACGCTGTTCGCCGGAGAGCACTGGCGTGCGGGACGGTTCGAGCGTGCTGAGCAGGTTCTGCTCAGTGGTATCAAGTGTGAGTACTAAGCGGTCCTTTGTTATTCCATTGTCCTGACATTTCAGTCTTCGGCAGCGGCGGACATGTCGACTCTGTTGCCCTCTCCAACTTGTACGCCATGCTCGCGCATCTGCATCTCGCATGGGCCAGGACGGCGCCGACGGTGGTGCTTTCCCAAGCCAGTGAGTCGCACTGTTGGTTGCAACGCTAACAGCAGAATTCGATGTCTTGGGCAAGGCTACGCGAACAAAAGAGAGCCACTACTCAGAGGCGACAGCCCACTTGAATCGCGCGGATGAGGCCATGCGTAGCTCTGGAGCGAACCCGGATGAGGAGCCCGTTTCGCTGTCGATGGGCAAGATCATTCTCTATTCGGCCCGCGGACAACAGGGAACGGCTGCGCCTCTGGTCGAGCGCTTACTCCAGCGCCAACCCGACAACCTCCCGGCTCTTGCTGCGCAGGCTCGACTTCAGTTTGCGCGTCGTGAAACGGGAGCTGCCCTCGTCACCTACCAGAAGATCCTCGCCTTGAACCCCAACGCCCAGCCCGACCCCCGGATAGGCATCGGACTTTGTGCGTGGACGCTCGGCGACCGTGTCCGAGCGACGATGGCTTGGGATCGCGCCTTGGAACTTGACCCGTCGTCGTGGGCTGCTCGACTCATGCTTGCGCTCGCCAACCTCAACATGGCCCGCGAGCCGAACCACCCGATGGACAAACGTTTGACGTACGAGTCCGAGGGTGTCTCGCATGCTCAGAATGCTTTCAAGCTCAACAACAAGAGCACTGCGGCTTCCCTCGTGCTCTCGGGTGTGGCTGCGCTCGGCGGACACATCGAGCTTGCCTCCAAGCTCGCTGAGCGTGCCATCCAGTACGCCGACAATAAGCGTCATGTGGTGATGTCGAACTCGGAGCGAGGTCGACTCGGCTTCGTTGCCGGAGATGTTGCCGACGCTGGTGTCTACATCGCCGCTGCAAAGGGCGCGGACCAGCAGAACGTCAACATGATGGCCGAGTTGACCCTCGCCCAGATCGCCATCAAGAATGGCAATCTGCGAGAAGCTCTCAACTTTGTCGAGCAGACCGCGAAGCGTCTGAACGGCAAGCCTCCGCTCGAGTTCACCGTTCTCCACGCTTCTCTTCTGGCCTACCCGCATCTGGGTATGCCTGCGGATGAGCTGGCGCGCAACCGTGTGACAGCCAGGGACATGCTGTCTGGTATTCAGGACCTTGTGTCCAATGCCGACTCTGACGAGGACTGGGCAAAGCTGCGCGGAATCGCGGCTGACAGTGACACTTTCGTTGAGCTCGCCAAGCTCTGGCAGGAGGAGAGCGTTGACAAGGCGATCAACTCGTACCAGACGGCTATCTCGATCAAGGCGGACCTTGAGGAAGAGGACACGGCGACGCAGGAGACCAAGCCGGTCGACTACTCGGAGATCAAGCTGAAGGCGAACCTGGCTGCGCTGTACGCGCTTCAGGGCCACACGGAGAACGCCGAGGCCATGTTCCAGGATGCGCTGTCAAAGCTGACCAAGGAGTCTGGACCGGAAGCGGACGCCATGAAGACTGTCCTCGCATACGACCTGGGACGGGCGTTCGAGCAGGGCGGTGACATCGTCAACGCGCAGAAGTGGTACCGCGATGTGCTGCACCAGCATCCCGAACACATGGAGTCGAAGGTCCGCCTCGCTCATCTCGCTACCATTGCTGGCCGCAATGTCGAGGCGCACAACTACCTGAAGGAGTGTCTGCGTGCCGACGACTCAAACCTGACGCTGCGTTCGGTGTACACCAACTTCCTCATCGGTATCGGCTCGTTCAAGGAGGCGCTTAACTTTACGTCGCACACGCTCCGATTGGACAAGACGGACCCGTACACGTTTACGGCGCTCGGATGGCTGCACTACACGCTCGGCCGTGAAGCCAAGTCGCAGCAGGATGTCGCCGAGCGACCAAAGCAGTACCTCCGCAGTGCCGAGGCGTACGAGCGCGCTCTTTCGCTCGACCCCACGAATGCCGTCGCCGCGCAAGGCCTCGCGATCGCCCTTGCCGAGAACACGCTCGTACCTAAGAACTTGCAGCCTGCTCCCGGTAGCGCCGAGGACGTCAAGACGCGAACACGACTTGCAGGCAACGCCCTCTCCGTTCTCGGTCGTATCAAGGACTCTCTGCCCGAGGGTCCTGTGTCTGTGAACATCGGCCACTGCTACTTCCTGCGTGGGGAGGAGCAGCGTGCCATCGAGGCGTACGGATCCGCTCTCAACAGCTACGGCGGACATAACGTCTCGGTGCTCCTGTACCTCTGTCGTGCATGGTTCACGTACGCGACGAAAGAGTCGAACGTGTCCGCGATGTCGCAGGCGCTCTCATATGCGACGCAAGCTCTGCACATCCAGCCCTCCGACCGAGCGATCCTGTACAACATCGGTCTCATCCTTCAGAACGCGGCGACGATCATGCTCGACCTCGAGCCATCGAAGCGCACATTAGAGGAGCTGACGCACACGCTGAAGCGCGCCGAGGAGGCAGCGAGCATCTTCCGCTCGCTGGCCGACGACAAGGCCGGCCCGCTGGCCTACGACCGTAACATGGCGGACCAGCGTGCCAAGTTCCTGGACAGCATTGTGTCGCGTGGCCAAGCCGAGGTGAAGAAGCAGGAGGCGTACGAGGCCGAGTTTGCCGCCCGAGTGGAGGAAGCGCGCCGCGTGCGAGCCGAGGAGCAGGCGCGGATCGAGGCGCAGGCGGCGGCGCGCCAGGCCGAGATCGACGCCCGTGCGGCGGAACTGGCGGAGGAGCGCCGGAAGGCGCGCGAGGAGGCGGCCGAGTGGCACGCGCAGCTGCAGGAGCAGAAGGCGGCGGACGAGCTGCGCAAGGCCGAGGCGAAGGAGGCCAAGAAGCGGCGGAAGGAGCGCGAGGCCGAGGAAGAAGGCGAGGAGGGCGGCGGGCGCAAGCGGCGCAAGTCGAAGAAGAAGCGTCGCGAGCGCGAGCAGTCCGAGAGTGAGCCCGAGCTCGAGCCCGCGCCCTCGGACGGAGAGGAGGACGAGGAGGCAGCCCAGGAGCGCCGGAAGCGCAACGCGCTCGCGGCGATCAAGAAGAAGCGCGGCAAGGGGCGGGCGCGCCGCGAGGATCCCGACGATGAGGAGGACGCAGACACCGGAAGAGGAGGCAAGAAGTACAAGTCCAAGGCTATCATTGAGGACTCGGACGAGGAGATGGACGAGCCCACGACTGCGCCTAGTCCGCCACAGGCTTCCAGCCCGCCGGCTAATGGCGGCGGAAGCGAGGACGAGGCAGCGGCCAACGGACGTAGCGACGCCGGTAGCGACGGCGACGACAGCGATTAGAGTCAAGCAATATGCATAGGGTTTCTAGATCGTGCACTGGGAGCAGGGAGCATGCCTGCTTCTCCACATCACTGACTGACGGGTAGGCGGCGAGGTGGTCCAAGCCGCCACTTTTCCCTGAACGCTCGATCGGCGTTGCAGAGACCAAAAATAGCCCCTGCCCTGCGAATACCATCAGTTCGCCACCTGTCAACAACGGGCGGGATACGGAATACTGCTATCTGTGTGCATCTCGCTGCGCTAACTGTACAAGCTTCCTCCGACGTTTCTACCTAATGGTCAGAGAGCCACCTGTACTCGAAGCGGAAGTCGCTCTTCCTGCGCTGGCACCACGAGTTCTCCCAGTCAAAGTAGTAGTACCCTCCCTGCTCGTAGTCCTCGGTGATGGCCTGCGGGTTGTGCGCGCGCTGGAACCACGTGAGGTACTGCTTGTGGAAGCGCCACGACTGGCGCTTGAGCTCCTGCGCCGCGAGCCACTGCTCGTACGTCCCCGTCATGTAGTAGAAGATGTAGAAGAGCTGGTCCAGCTCGAGGCGCTGGTAGATGCTCTTGTCCTCGAGCTGCGGCAGGCGCGTCTGCGGGTAGTAGCTCGGCGTCTGGATCGGGCTGTGCGGGTGGTAGTACCGCGGCGGCTCGGCGTCGAGCTGCGCAGGGGCATTGTGGTACGACACGTCGAGCTGCGACACGAGCTCGTTCGGGTCGGCTCCGCGGCGCTCGGCCATGTCCTTGGCCACACCGAACGAGGCCATCAGGTTCTCGAGGACACCCTGCTCCTTGCGCGGAGATGTGGAGTAGGACGTCGAAGGCGCACGAGACGACTCGGCCGGAGGCTGCTGCTGACCGTTGACAGAGGTCTCGGGCGCAGGTGACGGCGTGGCGGACGTGGCAGACGTCGTCGTGGGTTGTCCCTGGTGGTCAGCTAGACCGCACAATATGGTAAGCTTACGTTTGACGGCTCGGCGGCAGAGCTGCTGGCCATAGGTGACGGCTCCGGCTCGGGGTGCGCGGGCTCCTCAGAAGTCGTGTCTTTGTCCTTCTTCGACGATGACGTCTCAGACGGGGGCGCGGGATGTGATCCTCCGACTGCTGCGGCAGCGGCGGCGGCGTAACGGATTGGCGGCAGAGGAGCCTTGGGCTGTGCCGGTGGCGGGGAAGCGGCAGCCTCAGCAGCAGCCTTGGCCTTGGCGGCGGCCTCGGCCTTGGCAGCAGCCTCGGCGGCAGCCTTCTCAGCCTTCTCCTGCCTCTCGGCTTCTTTCCGGGCTTCCTTTTCAGCCTCTGTGATACGTTAGCTAAATGCTCACTCGACGAAAGCTTACTCTTCTTCTCGCTGCGCTTAGTCTGCACAGGGCTTGGAGGCGTGTCGTCAGAATGATCTTTCGACTTCTTGTCCGCCTTGGACGATTTGGATGGCGTCTCGGCGGTGTCGGCGACGGAATTCGTGTCAATATTGGACGAGTCCTCATGTCCGTGTGCTCCGTAGTCGGCGTTGTAGTCCTCCTCGCCCTCCTGGAGGTTGAGCTCGTCGTAGATTCCGAGGTCAAAGTCAAAGTCCTCCTCGGTGTTGGCCTCCACGAAGTACTTGACGTCCTCCTGGATCATCTCGACCTGCTCATTGTTGATCTGGCCGTTCTCGAACATGCGCTGGACAATCTCGAGCCGTCCAATGTGCCATTGTCTACGCTCGTTCAGCTGGTCGAGCTCGCTGAGACGATCTCCCATGGCCTTCTTCTTCTTTCCGGAAGCCTGCAGCTGCTCAGCCTCAGCTTCCGTCTGCTCGATTTGGCGGGAGAGCTCGTCGATTGTTGACACAATCCAGTCGATAATGTCGCGGCGCGCCTTCTCTGCCGGGTCTAGTCGGGCGGCGGCGATTAGCCCCTCTTTCGAGAAGGCCTTCATTTTCATTTCCTTCTCGAGAGCCTTAAACCGCTCCATTTGCTGCGCATTGTCAGCTTATGCCCAGACTTTGCCGCCGGCAACGACTCACTGTTTCGATCAGTTTGCGGTTCTCTAGAAGTGCGCTCTTGTCCTTGATGTCCGAACTTCCGAGCCAGACCTTGATCTGATCACGCATGCGCTGCAGTTTCTTGATCTGGGTCTTGAGGTCGTTCTCGAGCTTGTCCTTTTGCGTCGCATTTGACGCATGGTTCAGCTTGTCAAACGTCGCCTCAAAGGTCTCGACGCCCTGGGCGACGGCCTTCAACGTTCGGTCTATCTCGGCTTTGCATGTCAGCTCATCGTTCCCCAATACCCGGATCCCGACTCACTCTGCAGTTTTCTTAACGCCATGGCGGGTGGAAGTGGGTGGTGTCGCAGTGAGAAGAGCTGGCAATGATGATGGTGGTCCTCGTGGTGTCAGTTGATCACGATCGCCATCCCGCACGCCTAATACGGTAACAAGGTGTGAGCACGTGGTCAGTCGGCACCCCAAAACGTGGGTTGCATGCCTTTTGCATCCGGGCGTGCCTAAAAGGGAGACGCGTCATGTGGAGGCCCTCATGTCCAAGACGCGACGAGACTGATGTTGACAATTTCGATCGAGCGGACCAAACAGCCTCTTGCCAACCCGTCACGATGGTACGCTCAATGCGGGCAGCGATTGTCAAGGTGAGCTAGAACACTCTGAAACTCAGCTAACGACCAGGTTTTCTCAACCAAATACTCTCTCACTCTGCCCGCCCCCGCCCTGGAGTATATCCAGCAAGTGCTCATCGACGTAAGTCAGCTATCTCAGCAGCAAACCTGACGACCAGACTGAGATCCCGGAGGATGAGTGGGCAGTGGGACTGGAACTTTGGGCTGCAGAGTATCTGAAAGGAGAGGGTGAGTACCATCTGGAGTAACTTCCGCTGACTGGCAGAGGCATCTTCCCTCGTGTCACTGGAGGGCCTAAAGCGAGCGTATGAGATCCTGCAGTTGGGAACAGTGGACGACACCCAAGAGGCGGATCCGTCAGAGGTGAATGTTGAAGCGCACTTCTCGGTAGTCGACAGTTTCAACATGCCGCCAGTCCGCTTCGACCCCGTGCGCGCTGCCTTCTCTGTGTGAGTTCTCCTGCACTGGGCACTGAACTGACAACAGTGCCAAGCGGAAGCCATCGATTGCTGGGCAGGCCGCGAGTCGCTCATCGTATCTGCGAGAGCGATGGGGCATTATTCGTGAGATTATCCTGCGTAACGAGAACTTCACGCCCCCGGCACTTGGAGGACAGGACCGCGACAACTACCTGAAGGTCGGTTCGCAGCTGAATTTCTCGCAGCAGAAGCTAACTGGCAGTTGACGTCGACACGAAATCTGCTGGGACGGGCAGGACAGCTGTTCCTCTTGTTCGGGATGCTGAGTCGCAACCCGGAAGGGCGATTGACTCTGGAGGACGGCGACGGCCGCGTGGTGCTCGACATGGAGGATGCGGTCCCAGGAGAAGGTCTCTTTACCGAGGGCTGCATGGTGCTCATCGAAGGAGAATACACAGTCGACGACACGCTGCGAGTTCTGGCCATGGGTCACCCTCCAAGCGAAAAACGACACATTGCTCGTGGTCTTCATGGCCACGTCGACTTCCTCGGCGGTGGTGCCATGTCCGTGAAGGAGGAGAAGAAGTACCAGCCGACAGTGTTAGCGAACACGCAGGTATCGTTCGTCGTGCTGTCTGACGTGTGGCTAGACCACCCCAGTACGCTCGTCGCACTGCGGCGGCTGTTCGAGGGGTACGCCGAGGCAGCCGAGTACCGACCAATGGTCTTCGTCCTTTGCGGTAACTTCGTGCAGCGAGGCTGGGAGGGTGAAGGGGGGCTGAAGCAGTGCACCAGTGAGTAGCTCGAATCGCCATGACACCGGAGCTAACCGACAGACGGCTTCAACGCGCTGACGGACCTCATCCTATCGTTCCCGCTCTTGCTCCAGTCGCACTTCGTCTTCGTCCCTGGTCCACTCGACCCGTGGACCGGAACGACATTGCCCCGGCCAGCGCTCCCGAAGAACTTCACGCAGCGCCTCGCCAGCCGCATCCCTAAGGCGAAGTTTGTGTCCAACCCGTGCCGCCTGCGATACTTTGGGCAAGACATTGTCATCTGCCGCGAGGATCTCATGGGCCGTATGCTGCGTAACCTCGTCGGTGTGAAGAGCGCGAACGAAGGAGCGGACATGAAGCGCTATGTGAGTTGGAAATGGTCGACCGCAACTGACAGCTAGCTCGTTCAGACAATTCTCGACCAGGCGCATCTCTCGCCGCTGCCCGAAAGTGTCCGTCCGACGCTGTGGGAGTTCGATCACGCGCTGCGCCTATACCCGATGCCGACAGCGGTCGTACTTGCTGACAAGTACGAGCGCTACGAGCTGACGTATGAAGGGTGCCATGTGTTCAACCCGGGACGGTTCGTGAGTGCGGGCTCGGGGGGAGAGTTCGAGTGGAGCATGTACTATCCCGCGACAGGGCGGAGCGAGCGCAGTGCACTCAGTCTAGACTAGGGCGGTATGTAAGACTATAGCAACAGGATACAGACAGGGGTCATGGTCGTGAGCAGGGAAACAGAGGTACAGTGGGCGATCTTTTAAGAATGAGCAGCGGGTCTGGGGATCGGGTTGTGGTGATCGTGATTTCGTTAAGTCGTCAGTTCGTCACAACCAGCTGTACGGGATGAGGATCAGGCAGAAGATGCAGTTGACTTCGCCCTCTGCCGTCTTTGCATCTTCGAAGTGGCACCAGCCTGTGGTCAGCGTCGATGCCGATCGGAGGGGTCGGGGATCCCGACTCACCGCCCTTGTTCAGGCCGTGTCTGCCCTCGCAGTTGCGCCAATTGTCCGAGTAGATGTACCCCTGGGACATGGTGTCGAGCCTCTTTGGTGCCTTTCGTCTGTCTGGAATGCCTGGAATGCCAGCGATGTTCGAGCCTGGACTTGCTAGAGACGCTGGCGTGGAGCCCTGTGGCCGCGAGAGGGTGGCGATGACGTTGGTGTGTCCAGCTGATGCCCCTTTATGTTGGTCCTGCGGGTGAGTGGGGGAGTGAGGGATGAGCTGATGGACTGATGCGAGGATCCGCTGCGAGGTGTGCGATGCGGAAGTGCGCACGATACGCGATAGCGCGCGTCACCCGTTCGGCTGTCGGTTGGGACACAATCGGACGAGCAACGCAGGGAAGACAAGTGCCGCGCACTGCGTGCTGCTGGTGTGCTGGCAGCTGCCTGCTGCCCGGCTGTCGGGTGGGGAGGTGAACAGTCACCGGGTGACTCTGAGTGCCGCAACGTGCATGCCCAGGCCGCTTAGTGCCCTGCCCAGGCGAGGCGTGCAACGGAGGATCTCCGCGCTTCTGTCGCCGACACCTGCAGAAGTGCCCGTCGAACGGCCCAAACCCTCCGGCCCAGTCACCCCCTCCACCTCACCGCCTATTTTGGGGCTGAGCTTGGTTCCTCAGCCTGCTGCCAAGTGACCGCCGAGAATGTCTGAAGAGATGTCTGGGGAATCGGGCAAGCCTACTTCGTCCCCCCGCAAGCAGCAGGGCGAAGCTCCGCCAATCTTCGCATGTGTGTTCTCGGATCACTGCCTTGGAACGCTAAAAGCTTACTTCGCGCCCGGACCTTCGTTAATCTGGGGAACTTGGGTTCTGATGCTGGTTGATATGAGAGAATGTGCCTTTGGCGCGCAATGTGGCGCCGCTGCGGGCACGAGGCTGCCCGGCCACAGGCACACCGACAGTGCGCATGGCCTAGCGGCCGTCGCAACCACGCCTTCGACGACACGTTTGGCAGCGAACAACACTCTACTGTCCGTTGTGAGCACTTGCTGCAAGTCGCATGTCGGGGGATCTCCTTGGCGTGCTGTGGCCCCAAACTGCGAGAGTGGCACTGATCGTGGCACCTAGCGTCCACACAGCCCTCAAACCGCAGATTTGTATATAAGATCGCGGAACCGACCAGCACCCCAGACTAGTACAGAGTACGAGCGCCTCTGGAAGAGCCTCGCGCCACTGCGCCACGCAATATGGGTGGGGGTCGTCACTGTCCGCCTGGTGCGATGATTGTGGAGGCTTTGTAGGTGGAGGTGAGAACTCACGACCAGCTGATGAGACGGTGGAGAGGCTAAAATGACACTGGCTGCGACAAAGTTGTGTGTCGTCCTCGTCCCGCTGACATGAACATGTCACGCGGACTGATAGTGAGTGAACATTCGTATCCGCTCACGTGCCGACAAAGCGAAACCTCGACCGTCTGTTCGCTCCAGAAGTTCAGACTAGTCCGTGACCAAATACGGTACGGACGGGGAAGTCTGCTATCGCAGTAGTCCGATCCGGGCATCCACCCACTGGCTTCTGACCGGGGCTGTGGTGGACAAGTGTGGCGTTTGTGGTCACAGCTTCTAGCGTGGGGGGTGGTGGGAGCGTGCTGCGCACGTCATTCGCAGCGCTCGTTCTTATCAATCTGCTTCTCATATTCACCAGCTGACATGCTCCTTCTCAGATTCGCCGGCTGACAGGCTCCCACGAGATACAGAAGCGCCAACTTGCAGCTGACCAAGCGACAAAGCGTGGCGCACGGCATCACACGGCATTGGGGCCGGCAATGCGGCGCTTCTGTGCGCGAGGTCTGCTCACCGCCTCGCACCGGAGGCTTCGCGCGCTAGGTACCCACGCATTGTGCTGTTGCATGGTGCTCAACGCATGGTGCAGCTGCTTTCGCACCCGGCCGGTGTCTGAGAATCCTGGGAAGCGAAATCGCCGGACATAGCGCAGCACCTCATCTCGCCAGCCGGGGTATCTTGCACTGCGATCCAGTCAGTCTGGCGGACAACCACCACGGCTGGGCACCTCTCGGATGTGGATCTCCTCCACCAAGAGCTGCGCGACGGTGTCTGAGAAAGTTGTCTGATCAATCTTATGGTCCTCATGTCTTCGCCGAAACTGGCCATGCAGCGATGACGCAGGGTCCACGCATCGCCTGGCTCTCAGAAGAAGTCACAAACCCGGTGACTGGTGTGTTAGAGCACACGCTCACGCCTCGCTGGGTGCAGTTGCCGGGGTCACTGAGGCGCGGTCGCCAAAGTCGTGCCGGATGAGAGGGCCGGGCTGAGCATTGATGACCGGGTACTGTGGCGCCAAGTTCGAGCCCCGCTATGGCGTGTTAGACGCCAATGCTGAGTCTGAGCACAACGTGCGTGCGATGTCGCAGGCCAGGATCCGCGCCTCTGTCACCGGCGCACTGGCACATCCTGGGGCTAATCTTCAGTAGTGTCCAAGCAGTGCTCAACGATCATGCCCGAGCACTCCCAAGTCCGAGCGAAGGAACATTCACCTTCGTGGCCACGAGCCTGCGCACGAACGGGCGCCACGTCCATGCAACGCCGTCACCGGGTCACGAAGCGAGATTCTGGTCGACCCAAACTCAGCAAACGCCATGGACTGGGCCATGCGAAGTACCCGTGCAGAACTCCGTCTCTCGTGCGCTGTGCGCCGAAACCGTTGCCACCCATCGTGGCCACACGCAGAGTCCGAATCCTGTTCCTTCCTCTCCGGGAGAGCCAAGGCGGTGCACGAACTGCGCCGCAGCCCGCTCCCACCGAACACACGAACACACGGAGCGGGCATGAATTCGCCACTCTTGGCGACGAACCCTTCCGTGTTCAATCCCGCTCATACATCTGTATCCGATCGCCTCAAGCAATCCAGCGCGAGGAAGGGACCAATCTCAAGCGTCTGTTAGTCATCGGGCCCGAAGCCTGGCAGCCTGGCAGCCTGGCAGAAGATGCAACCGGCAATCTGCCCGGACCACCTCCGGGCCGGATCAGGTCGTCTCCGCCTTCTCCGCGCCCCAGGGGACTGGCGGCCGCCACCCGGAAGTACCCAGCCGCTTGCGGCGTCTACGACCAAGTCCAAGGTTGAGTGAATGCAGCTGCAGTCGACAGATCTGCGAGCTTTGCCGGCCGGAGTAGCCGCCGGCCGGATCTGGTGGGATCTCCAGTTGCGATTGGTGCGTTAAACTCCTCCCCCCCTCTCCGAAACCCTCAAAACCCTCGCGTTTCGCGAGCTTCGCGAGCTGCGTTTGGGTCAGAGGTGCTGTCGAGCTTCGAGAGTCACTGGACCACACGATGCAGGAGCACATGCATGCGCGCATGCACCGACGGCGCACAGAGCCAAGACACCCGATCCAGAAAGTGCGATGCGACTCATGCGCAGTCGCTCTGGAACAGGCAAGAGGAGCACAGATCGTGAGCTTGTGAAGTGTAGTGTTTGTCGGTGCGTTTCAGCTCTCGCACCCAAGTCTAATCCTGACGAGAAGAGGAGCGCGAGGAACGCTCATGTGCTGGAACTGGCAAAACAGTCTGCCCGTGCTGGCAACAGTGCAGTGCTCGTGACCGCTGGCAGGAACGACCCAGAGCCTCAGCTGGGTTCCGTGCAGTCCCATTTCTGGATTCATGTACGGGGGCTGGTCTACTGCGATGCACTCTCGGGCACGTCGCTAGAGCATGCACGCATGAATGCGTGTCGGAAGCAAGCCCGTGCTTGAACCGTAGAAGCACAGAAGCACGGCGGTGGTAGTGAGGAGGCCAGGAGGCCCAGAATCACCAGCCATCTCGCAACGCCACAAGGCTCAGCCTTCTGTGCCCAACTCGGGGCCTCTCGGGGCCTTCATTCATAACCATGCCAGCCGTTTGCCCGCCCTCTCTTGGTCGCTGATCGTCGCCGAGACTATGATCTGCAGTCTGCGCTGCCTACTGTACGATGGCTGCGCTCGCGATGTCTGAACAATGCTGGAGGTCGGAGGGATGCGTCGGAATGTGATGCACGACCGAGCCAGAGCCAGAGCCACCGAGGCACCAACAGGGACGCCGGCGGTCGTGGCCACGGGCGCGGCTGCGTGGCCTGTGCCAGCTGTGCCTCTCTCTGTACTCGGTACTCGGCATCGCTACTTTGAGCACCGAGACAGCTGTGGGCCTGTGGGCAGGCCCAACAGGCCTAACACCGATATCGTGCACAGGGAGCAGTAGACGAACGTCCGCCATTCCAAGGTCTGGCATACGTGCATTGGCGCATACGTGCGGCATTCTCGACTCTAGTGGAATCAACGCGCCTGCACCGCCTGCTCGCCTGTCGCGTCGTGAGTCGGCGCACGTCGCTGCCGAACGCGAGCCGGGCCGCTGCCGCTGCCGCCGCGGGAGGCGTGACTGCTTCGGAATCACTTTCCTCCCCCCCTGTCTTCCCCTTTCATCGATGTGCATTGAAGTGCTAGTCGGATGCGTATCATGCATATTGAAATCCGGGCGTAGAGGGACTGCGGCCGCAGTCTGTGCACCTTTATGAAAAAGTGAAGTGGGAGTGCGCACGATAGGCACCAGGAGCCGGTGGCACGTTCGTGGCGATATCACTCTTCCAAGTTGGGATATGTGATCGCAGCGATCGCGTTTTGGTCTGGCCCAGATATGCTTTCTTGGCATGCAGTACTGCAGTATGCAGTACTTGCAGCGCGTGCAGCGAGACAGTCACCCGCTGCGCGTGCAGCAGTCACAATCGACAAGAGGCAGCAGTAAGGACAGCGTAGTCGTGCCAAGCCTGGTGCGGTGGTGAAAAGTGGTGTGTGTCCCTGAAGAGTCCCTGCTTGGGTGTCAGAGGGTGAGCACGAGAAGATCTCTGCAAGATCCTCCGGCGGTGTCTACGGCTGTCTCGCGGCGTGAGACGCAAGGGCGCCGACGATGACGTCCTTGGCGCCGAGCACACCCGAGGGGTTCCCTGAATAAATCCTGAACCCAACATGAGCACCTGAAACGCAGGTACGCAGGAGAGGGCCTGACATGCCTGTCACTTGCGACCGCTGCAGAGTCAAAAAATCCTCACCACATCACCACCGCTGGGCTCCCAGAGACGAAAAAGATCATGCACCACCTGATTGCCCGCGTTCCCAGCGTCCCACACTTCAGCCTGCTCCACCGCCATTAATTGCCAGTTATGGCTGGTCGCTAGCCGCACACTGGCAACGACGAGGTGCTGCCCGCCGCTGGTGTCGGGCGACGATATCAGGCTCTCTGCGTTGGTTGAATGTGCGTTTTGGCCTGCTGCCCCAAGAAGCACTCTGCGTTCAGTTTGACGCACCGGCGCAGGCAGGTACCTACAGGGGAAGACTGTACGACTGTAAAGCTGCAGGCGGCCGGGCGGCGAGACGCACTCGAAGACCTTATGCCAGATACGCAGCACCAGGAACGGAATTGCGTGCAGGTTCCTCAGGCTTGCGCTTGTCCCAGCGGCCCAATACGAGCAGCCTAACAGCTAGCGCCGAGCTTGCTGGCGCTTGCAGATCAGAGACAGCGGCGCAGAGTGGGCACTGCACAGCCGCGACGCCTGGGGTCACCCTGGCACCTCTGCTCGCTGGTCCTCCTCCTCGTCTGTCGAACCCTGGCACCGAGCACAACCCTTGTCCTTCCCTGCACTGCGACCCTAGCGTTAAGGGGGCGCAGACATGGCAAAACTGGGGCGCACGAGAGCGCGAGCGACAGCAACGGCGGCGCGGAGCAGCTCCTCACGTCCTCACCTAGACGCTAGAGCGCTAGCTGCGTACCTCACAGGATCACAGGAGTCACAGAATCGGAACGTCTCGCGCTCCGTGATCCGTGGCCACCGGTCGCCCGTTCGGATTTGTTGGGACGCAACTAAACGCAACATACATTCGGCGCACTAAAGTAGCGCCTGCCGTCGCACGTAATGCTCCCAGACGTACCAGACACGCCAGACATGCCAGACACGCACGGCCCGGGCTGTCTGTGGGCATGCTGAGGCTTGGAGCAGAATCCAGCCTGCATCAATCTTGGGTTCGGAATCGTGGCTCCGGGCCGCATAGCGTCGGGCCGCTTTGCGGTGCAGGTAAGGGACGGCCTGCTAGTGTCAACATGTGAGCGGGCATGGTCTCTAGGCTGGAATGCAATGCCAAAGTACTAAAGTCAAGAATCGAGGAATCAGTAGTGCTTCTATTGCCATGCTTCTCGCGAGCTCACGATCTCGGCGAACTGCATTGCGTCTGGCGATCTAGCTCTCACGGCTCACGGAGTATCTAGCCGTCAGGAGTTTCGGCAGCAGAGTACTGAACGGTTGGTGAGAAGGAGATGGCTGCGCTGGACTATTGGGGGTGCAAACGGGCGGCGTAGGAGCCGAGGGAGAGAGACTGGCGCTTGCGTTTGAAAATGGTATTATGACACAACCTAGTACGCTGGACTCGGCGTGCCGAGCTTTGCCCAGCCAACAGTCAGTGCAGAGAGGGCTGCGGTGCAGGCTATGCAGGTGCAGGGGTGCAAGTGCAGCCAGTGCGGCAAGCTGGCAGGCAGGCAATGATTCAAGGCACGTAGGGAAGGGTCGGGCTGGGTGGCAGTACCTAGGAAAGGGGAAGGGGGCAAGGGCCCGCACGCTCACGCTTCACAGGGCCCAGCGCAGGGCCAAGGGTTCCAAAGGGCACAGGATCATACGAAGCCCACACTCGTTACCTGTTCACACACCTCTTCTCCTCTTCTCCTGTTCTCTCCTGTGCACAACATCCACCCCCTCTTTATAACTCTCCGGCTGCGATCGCTTTTAGAGTTCTTCCTGCTCCGTTGCACTCTCCCTCCCACCCATCCCTCACTCCTCCACACACCCATCATCCCCTACAGTGGATCAAGTGCACTGCATCGGCGCTCAGGACTAGCGACCATCTCAGCCTAGCTCCGACCTGTCTCCCCCGACCCCAGCCGACAGACGCCAGGACGCCTCCGTCTCTCTCACGACTCGCCGTCCCAGTTTTCGTCTTTGCGCCATCATCCAGACCCATCACTAAACCGGGTTCTGTGTCGACGATCGACTGCGGCTCTTGATCACCTCCCCCTTCCTCCCGCCCGCCTTCCCCCCTCTCGTCGCATCGCAACCATTATGCGGACGACTACGCTGCTTGCAGGCGGCGCCGCCCTCGCCGCTTCGGCCTTGGCGATGCCCCACCACTCTGAGCGGCGTGACGCTTTCAATGCTTACAACGCGGCCAACCCCCACCGCGAGATCTTCAAGCGTGCCACCACCAACAACGGCCAGGACGCCAACGACAAGGACTACGACTTCATCGTCGTCGGCGGTGGTCTCGCCGGTCTCGTCGTCGGCTCTCGTCTGTCCGAGTGGTCGAACCAGACCGTCCTCGTCATCGAGGCCGGTGGTGACGGTAGCGACGTCGAGCTGAACCAGAAGATTCCTGGTGAGCCCACTCTTGCGCTGCGCTCGTTTGCAAGGAGGCGCTGCTAACAAGCCCCACAGGTTACACCTACCACCACGGTATCGTCACGACGACCGACTATGGCTACGGCTACTCGACCGTCCCCCAGAGTGGTGCGAACAACAACCGCAAGGTGTTCCCCCTCGGTCGCGGCCTCGGCGGTTCGGGCGCCATCAACGGCATGTTCTGGTGCCGTGCTTCCCGGGACGAGATCAACGCCTGGAGCGGTGAGTGTGATTTTGTGTTTGCGCCCCTTCCCGGGCAGTCCCGAACGCACACACATTCAACCCGGTTTCATCCACCCACATTGCTGACACCTCACAGAGCTCAACCCCAACGCTACCCAGGACTGGAGCTGGGACGGTTTCAACCACTACATCAACAAGGTACGATCTTATCGATCAACAGTGACACTGACGTCACCCAGGCTGAGTCTCTCACCAGGCCGCCGCAGGACACGGTGAACCAGTTCCACATTCCCATCGATGACAATGCGCACGGACACAACGGTCCTCTCCAGGTCGGGTACGTAATCATGCAGAGCGAAGCCTTGATGCTTGATTCCGAGTGCTGTCTGCTGACTTGTGCACAGATGGTCGCAGTACATCTACCCCATCACTGAGAACTGGGTCCCGTGAGTCTTCATTAGGTGGAGTGGAGCTGGCCTGAAATAGATTGGCCACCCACCCACCCCACTGCAGTCTGATCCAACGTTCCATGTCGGCTGACGCTTATCAGTTCCTGGGAGGCCATGGGTTTCCAGGCCAAGGACCTCGCCGCTGGCAACACGCACGGTGTTACCATCACCCCCTCGACCATCGACGCCAAGACCCAGTCTCGTTCGGACGCCCGTAGCTTTATTCAGGAGGACCGCCCCAACCTGACTGTTCTCACCGGCCACCAGGTCACCAAGCTTCTGTTCAACGGCACTGACGCTAACGGCACCACTGTCTCTGGCGTCCAGTTCATGCGCTACGCTGGTGACGATGTCAAGACTGCCCGTGCCCGCAAGGAGGTCATCGTTTCTGCTGGTTCCATCAACTCGCCCAAGCTTCTCCAGCTTTCTGGTATCGGTCCCGAGTCCCTTCTCAAGCAGAACGGTATCGAGGTCGTCAAGGACCTTCCCGTTGGCTACAACCTCCAGGACCACGTTTCGAGCACCATGAACTTCAACTTCAACGGTGACTACGACACCTGGCTCAAGCTCGCCAACGACAAGGGTCTGCAGGACCAGGCTCTCCAGGAGTGGCAGAGCTCGCACACTGGACTCTGGACTTACATCAACGAGGCTATCGGTTACATCTCTGGCTCTGACCTTGCTGGCGGCGACTCTGGCGCTTCTGACTTTGTCAAGAACACCAAGCCCTCGGAGGTCATCAACCGCATCAACGACCGCCACCAGTACCCCGACAAGGTCCGCAACGGTCTCCAGCAGCAGCTCGAGATCCAGAACCGCTGGTTCACCCAGGACATTGGCCAGTTTGAGATCATCATGAACCCTTGGGGCTCCAACGACAAGAACATTGGCTTCCAGGTCGCGCTCCAGCACCCCTGGTCGCGTGGTACTGTCCAGATTGCCTCCAACGACCCCTTCACTCCCCCCAACATTGACCCCGACTACTACGGTATCGACGCCGACCTTCAGATCCACGCCATGGCCTACGACTGGGTCCGTCGCCTCGCCAAGGCTGGACCCTTCGGCAACCTCCTGACCGACGAGACCCGCCCTGCCAGCAACGGCGGCGACCAGAACAACTACCTCCGCGACCAAGCCGGCACTGAGTACCACCCTCTCGGCACCAACGCTATGCTTCCCGAGGAGGACGGAGGTGTTGTCAACACCGAGCTCAAGGTTTACGGCTTCAAGAACCTCCGTGTCGTCGACGCTTCGATCATGCCTCTCCACCTCTCTGCGCACCTGATGGCTCCCACCTACGGTGTTGCTGAGAAGGGTGCCGACATCATCAAGCAGGCCCACGTCTACGTCCCGCCTCCTCCCCCGCCCACGACCACCTCGTCGACCATGTCGTCTACCTCCTCGCAGACGAGCAGTACGGAGACCCCCTCGTCGAGCGCTGCCGCGGCTGACCCTTCCGCAGACGCAGCTGGAGCTAACTCTAACAAGAGCAATGATGGAACTATGTCGACTGGCGCCAAGATCGGTGTCGGAGTTGGTGTTGGTGTCGGTGGAGCTCTGCTCCTTGGTGTCATCGCTGCTCTCCTCGCCCGCCGCCGCAAGCAGGAGAAGGCCGCCGCCGACGTTCAGCCGAGGTGGCTCAACCACACGGCCGAGGCGTTTGACGACCACGACCAGCTCCAGGCCCCTGGAGGCATCGACCCCGACGGACGTCCCGTGTCCACGACCGGCTCGCTCGACACGATGGCGACTAACGACCTGCGCGGCTCGTACCACCAGCCGCCGTTCCAGAGGCAGTACTAAGCGCGCTGCCAGTCGACGATGACGTGAAGAAGAACACTGCGAATGGACATTTCCCAACCGCCGCTCTTTCCACTCCCGGCCTTCTGTCACACTCACATGCCCCCACTACACGATCATCCACATCCGCACACACACACACACACCCTAATAACAAAAGACATCTCACATCCCCGAGCCAATCCACCTATCCTCTGCTATCCTGACATACCACACACAGAACCCACCATCCATCACCTCTGTACCTGTCCACCCCGCTGTCGGCAGGCTCGAAGCCTGCCTTCGCCTGCATGATACCATCATCTGTTATATAGAAACACTATGAATATGAACATTGCTGCACACAAAGGGACTTGGGCACAGTGATACATTCAGGCTAATGCTACGAGGAGGCTGTGCGCGACTAACTTTGACCGCGAAGGTTCGAAATCTGTGAATGTCAGCTGATGTTCCCAGTACATTTAGCTGTGGGAGGACGCCGGATCCCGCCTCTCCAAGCACAGAGAGACAGGAATCCAGACGTAGGGTTGGATTCAGATAGGAGCGAAAGACGTTAGATGGAATTGTGTCAATCATAATGGACTTCTGATTGAACTATGCTTGATTTCGTGTATCATCACTAAAGCGGGTTTGGCGACAGGAGACGATTACTCACCAGTCACATGCACACAGCCCGTGGGCGTGTAGTCAGCAAAAGTATGGGTGTGGTGTAAGTCGAATGTAGGTCGCGGCCGACAGCCATCTCCATGGCGGAGACAGCAACGGACTGCCAAACTTGCAAGCAAGTCCAGCATGTGCCCGGCCAGCACACGATCCGTTTCTCTCGCCCTGGTCCGTTTCTCCGCAAGCCAAGATGGCAAGCGACGAGCGCCGAAGCGCAACAGGGCTGGCAACAAGGAGAAAGAGAAGTAACATGAAAGTTTCGTGGCTGGCGCAGGGGGGTAGTCGGTGCACGGTTGGTGCGAGAGGGTGCGAAGATGCCACCTGGTCACGTGAAATTGTTAGGCCTGCCACACCCCTCCGTACCTAGAGGCATCGTTAGGCCAGCGGTAGGCATCACGTGAATCCATCCGTCCAAACTCCCCACGTGGCGAAGCGAAACTGTTGTTTCGGCGTTTCGATACCTCCGCCCGAGGCCAAAGTTGGCACCCAAATTGCAACCGGGAGCAACGAGGGCTGGGGGGAGCAAGCTCTCAGTCGTTGCTCAGCTTCGTCGCTTGCTTCTCCTTCATCAAAATCTGTGCGTACAATCTTCTCTTTGTCCTCGCCGCCGACGACTTCGACAACACCAAAAAAACGGTTTAGCTGACGCCTGCCCGCGCTCCGACGACCGACACTCGACCAAACACTTCGCTTTTGATCCCCTCTCTTCCCCTTCGACAACACTCGACAAAACAGAATCATGGTGGGTATTCTGCTGCGAGCCGAAGCGGGCCGAAGTCCTTGTCTGGAAGTGGTGGCCTTGGAGGATCATGGTGGACGCGAGGATCACAGAAGGGCCAAAGACGAGGACGACAGGCAGCTGCCAACGCATCGGATGGACAGCTGGAGCTAACCCCAGGCTGAGTTCACTACCGGCGAGGAGGCTGCCGCCAAGAAGGCCGCGCGTTCGTTCAAGAAGTACTCCTACCGTGGAGTCGAGCTCGACCAGCTCCTTGACCTCTCCAACGAGGCCTTCATTGACGTGAGTATGCCGGAATAGCTTGCGGGAAGAAAGACATATTGGGAGAACATTTTTTCAGGAAACATCCAAGAAAGCAAGGGTCGTGTGCAGGAGGAAGGAGCACGGAACGGACAATGGCAGATGGAGGAAAAGTGCAACGCGCGAGCGTATCGCTCTCCGGAGCGCTCAGCGGCCCTTGCAGAGCATTTGCGACCCTCTGCGACCTTCTGAACCCGTTCAGCCCATTCTGCTCTCAACATCTACAACCACTGTAACCTCGCCCGCAAGCTCTCCTCCCCTTTACTTCCAGCTAACGCCCAGCTCGTCCACGCCCGTGCCCGTCGTCGTTTCCAGCGTGGCCTCAAGTCGCGCCCCATGCGCCTGATCAAGAAGCTCCGCAAGGCCAAGAAGGAGGCCGGCCCCAACGAGAAGCCCGCGATCGTCAAGACCCACCTCCGTGACATGATCATTGTCCCCGAGATGATCGGCTCGGTCGTCGGTGTCTACAACGGCAAGACCTTCACCACGGTCGAGGTCAAGCCCGAGATGACCGGCCACTACCTCGGCGAGTTCTCCATCACTTACAAGCCCGTCGGCCACTCGCGCGGTGCCAACATGGCCAACTCGCGCTTCACCCCTCTCAAGTAAGCGAGGTTTGGGATTGGGTTTGTACGACGTAGGGATGCACTTTCTCGTCTAGCAGCAGGCGAGGCGAGGAGCGCGCAGCGCTCCGAGCCAAGCGGAGCAGTGGCACATACGAGCGGAGCGAATACGTGCTGAGTTAGGAAGCGAGCGGAGCGAGCGTGAGTAGCGCAGCGCAGGCGATGTGTGTTTGTGCGCTTGGTCGAGGCAATGAGCGGCCATTGTGAGCAGTCAGTCTAAGCAGAAGCAGTGCATATCCAGTAAAGCGAGCGGACGGGAGTCGATGGTGGAGAACTACTCTGACGCAAGAGTACAGAGGGTGGGCAAGTCATCGTGATTGACTTTGATTCCCTCCACCTTTGCCTCTCCTCTCCATTTCCGTAATCTCCTGTATCTCCTGTATTTCCTATACTTTCACTCCCAACTCAAACCCTCCCAACCTCTACCTCTCCACTATCAGAACGCCATGACGTCGAAACCAACAATAGCATTGCGCGACCTCCAACCCGGCGACCTGGGCTACGTCCTCCAACAACATGGGGAGCAGTATTGGACCGAGTACGGGTGGGACCAGGAATTCGAGCGGCTCGTCGCGCGTGTCCTGGGCGAGTTTTGCCCGGGGCCGCGGGAGAGGGGATGGATCGCGACGGTCGATGGGCAACGCGCTGGCTGTGTGTTTCTCGTCAAGGCGCCGGCAAGGGAGACTGAGCCCGTAGGGCACGTAGCGTCGGGTGATGCGCCGGGGCACGAGACCTCCTCCACTCCTGCTACGACCTCACCACCAGCCGCCGGGTCCTCGGCCACCGTCGGGCACTCGACCGCCGCTGAGCTCGCCGCTGAGCCATCAACGACCCCATCAACGGCCCCACCGACACAACGGGGCAAGAGAGAAGAAGGGGACATGGCCAAACTGCGTCTATTGTTGGTGGACCGCAAGTATCGCGGCCTCGGCCTCGCCTCCCTGCTCGTTGACGCCTGCCTGTCCTTCGCGAGGGAGAAGGGGTACCGCGGCGTCGAGCTGTGGACGCACGCCAACCTGACGGCTGCGAGGGGGATGTATGCCAAGCGAGGCTTTGCCAAGGTGAACGAAGAGCCGTACAGAGGTTTGGGCGGGCATGCGCTCGTGGCGGAGGAGTGGGAGATGTTCTTCTAGCTCCTCTGCCCTTCTGCTCCCCTTAGTCTTTCTGCTCCCTCTGCTCCCTCTGCTCTCTCTGCGTCATCTGCGGCATCTGCGTCATCTGCGGCACCTGCGGCATCTGCCTAAGTGTATCATCTCCCCCTGGAGGAGGGCAAGAGAGTAGAGCCGGCACAACCGGACGTATCTCTCCACTCGATCGCTTGACCGCACGCACGCGCCCTTCACACCGACAGTCACGATCGCGCCGATGTCGCGCCGACATCGCGCCGACATCGGCACGAGGGTCGACGATGGGCCAGCCTCATGGTTGCTCATCGCCCCGTGGCGCTTTGGTATCTCATGCTGTCCGCGGAGAACTTGCCATCGATCCGCTCGAGGGGCAGGGCTCACCCGCCTCCTCATGTCGTAGGTCGAGGGTGGCGCCGGGTGGCAGCCCTCATAGACCTCATAGACTCCATGATGTACTCTAGTCCCACACCCTGACAAAGCGCTCAACTGTGCGCTCTAGATAATGCATAATAGTGCTACAGTGGAGAAGTTGTTTCTCTCAACTCTGATACCTCACAGTGAAACTGCATGAAGCTCAACGCTCGGCGCTACGCGCCTCGCCTGGCCTCGCTACGCAATCGCTCGCACAAACTTCTCCCACCGCGTGATCGCCTCAACCACAACGCTGTACCCCTCACTACTCGCCAGCGGGAAGATCTCCCTATGCACCGCCCCGCAGTCAGCGCACTTTCCCTCAAGCGACCTATAGGCGAGCGGTCTCTCGGCCGCCGCGCGATCGGCCAGTTCCAGATGCACAAGCCGTTCCCAGCGCTTGGACGCCGCCGCCATTTGACCAGCAGAACGCATCGCGCCGGGGAGCGTGCTGCCGCCCTCTGCCAAAGGGAAGACATCCCGCAGCACGGGAGCATGAGAGGAGCATTGGGCAGCCCACTGCCCTATCCGCCTTGGTACACAGTCGCTCCGCCCCACTTTGAAGAAGCTCGTGCTCGGCGCACCCATGCCGCGCAGCTCGTAGACGTAGAGAAAGCCTGGTGTCTCGCTAATGGACAAGGTCGCCTCCATCGTCGTCCGGAGCAGGGCTTGCGTCTGCTCCCACAGGGCACGCGGGATGTACGTCTTGAACTCGACCCATGTGCCCTCGCTGCCCGGCGAACGGCGGGAGTAGAACCCCGACGGTTTGAGGAGCAGCCCCGCGTGGTCCTTGCAGTACCGCTCGTCGTTGTCTAGCAGTGCTGCGCCGGGGGCGCCAGCCTTCACGAGACGCTTACACCGCTCGCCGGACCGGGTGTAGCCGCTGCAGCGGACTTTGGACGGGCTCGCTGGGCTCGCTGGAGACGACACAGCGGGCGAGGACGGCTTGCGTTTCGGGGTAGAACCCGGGGCGCTGACGACACTGCGCGAGGCGGACGGGCTCGCGGCACTCCGCGACGCTGCGGATGGCGCACTCACCGTACTCGCTGCGGCAGTGTTGCGCGGACTGGGGCGCCCAACGTCACTCTGCGCCCGTGGCGCCTTGCTCGCCTTGGGCGGACTCCCCGCCGAGCTCGGTGAGGTATCCTGCGTCAGGTCAATGACGCTCGGCACTCTACGCGGCGTCCTCACATCGTTACGCTGTGGACTTCTCGACGGCGTGCCTCCCCGAGCGACAATGTGCCGCGGCGGAGGAGGGAAGTTGGCCGGTTCCGTCGGTTTCGGCGCCGTGCGCAGGATCGGGGGCGGGAACTCGGACGCAGCGCTGGGCTTCGGCGGAGTCGGCGGTCCCTGCTCTGGCAGACTCGTACGGCGTTCCGGAATAACAGGAGGCAGGCCGATCTGGTGGAAGGCCGTACCGGATGGTCCAGCATTGGGCGTGCTGTTGAGCCGCCTCCGGGGGAGCTGAGATTCGGAGCGCCGAGGGTCCAGCGGCCGCACCAGATGGCGTGAGTCGGGATGCGCAAACTGCGGAACTGATGCCGAGTGGTGCACCTGGCGCAGAGGAGAGGGCTGAGCCGGAGGAGAGGGCTGAGCCGGAGGAGCCGGCTGGACCTGTGGAGCCTGATGATACGGCACTTGCTGTACCCGCTGCACTGGCACCTCATGTACCCGTTGCACTGGTACCTCGTACACCCGCTGCACTGTCTGCGGCACCTCGTGCACATAGTGCACAGGCGGCTGAACGACTGGCGCTGAGTGCCGTTGGGGTCGAGGCATCTCTTCATAGTCATGCGGTCCAAGACGCTGCTGAACTGGTCGGGGCGCCGGAAAGACGACCGGCGCAGACACCGGCGGCGCGGGAGCTGGGCGCGGCGGCGTGGATTGGATCGGTGGCGGTGGGGGCTGGCGAGAGCGCGGGTCGAGTCTACTCGGTGGTGGTGGAACTGGCGGTGGGGGTCGCGGTGATCTCGAAGGAAGGGGCGGTGGTGTCGGCGGCAGCGGCTTATTCGACTTGTCCTCCAGGCTCAAGTTGCCGATGTCTGGGCCGTTGGACGGTCCGCCGTTGACAGGGAGACCTTGCATATACTGCCGCCAAGCATTGTTGGTGCGTCCGCGGTCCCGCAAGTCTTCTGGTCGCGGCGGTGTGTGCGGTGCCTGTGCAGGAGCAGACGAGGAAGGCGCTCCGTTCTGCTCGGAGGGGAGGGAAGCCCGTGGTGGCTTGGAGATGGACGACTGCCGTGGCCGCGATGGTCCAGCCTCTGCATTCTCGGACGCCGTCGGGGAGGAAGGGTTGCGGACAGTGAAGCGCCGTTGAGGACTCGGTCTCGGAGTCGAGTTGGGTGATGGGTGTGCGTGTGCGTGCCCATTGGGATTCCGCACGGTGCGTTGGCGGTTTACCGTGTTTGTGTGATGGGCGTTTGAGATGACGGTGGACTCTTCCTCTGTCGCATAGGGAGTGTATGGCGGGGGTGCTGGGCCTTGGTTATCTGGTACGTCTGGAATGTCGATGGTGAGTGTCATGGCGGCATATCGTGAGCGTGGTCGTTAGTGGTGAGGAGAGAGTCAAGGTAAGAGATAAGGGGTGGCTTGGTGAAAGCAGTGCATGAGGCGATTGTTTAGGGTGAAGCAGTGTCATGTTGATTTTGAATGGGCGGTAATCTCTCAGGCACGGATGATTCTGTCGGCTCTCTCGGCGGTGGCGACCAGCACTTGTTTCCCACGGTGGATGAGGGGTGATGACCACGCGAGATTGGGTCCGTGCCTCTATGACGGGAGTGCCCGGGCAGACGGCACCGCCTGTGAATTGGCTAACGCGTTATGGTGGCAGGAGACCGCGGGGCCTCGGCCTCAGTCCATGAATTCCTGGCTCTGGCTCCTGACGCTACAGCGCGACTGGGCTCAGCGCTGGAACATGACCACACATGCCATCCCAGTCAACAATATCCACCACCACTCACCCACACTCGCCCCAGTCTCACGACACTCTGCTTCCATCACCACCACCCTCATTCATCTCTTCACACACTCTCACTGCATTTCTCACTTCGCATTCCATCTCCCATTTTCTTGTATCCACCATCTCATTGCTCACGATCCTTAACGACTACACACACACTCCACACGACCTATCGCCACCTTCCCCCCTGGCCTCCGACTCCACACGACCGAACCTTTGACCACTGTCACCCTTTATCACCCTCGGACAGCCCCGACTTTCTTCTCTTTCCCCGCTCCCCAGCGCCCACCATGGCCAACGACATCCACAACATCTCCATCACCGACGCCCTCACCGTCTCAAAACCGAGCAGACACATCGAGTACACCGTCCAAGGTGAGTGGAGTGCTTTCAGTGGCGTTTCATGTGTCCTGTCCGGTTGCACCGGTTCGGGACACTCGGCATCGCTCTTCCCGAGGGTGCAACCCCATCGAGTTAGCCCTGTTGTCACGATCCAGCGTTGGCGGAATCGGCCGGTTGCTACCGTTTAGGATCGGGGACTGCGCAATGCACGAGCCTCTTGCCGCTTTTGACCGGCCGCGATTGTTATCATTTGATCAGGCAATCGGGCAGGGTTCGAGGCGTCTGAAAGGGTCGAAACCCCCAATACGCCAGCGACCGTCGCACGAGCCAGATCACAGCTAACGCCAGTGACAACCCCGACACGAACGTGGTCCGTGAACCGGCGGTACAATGACTTTGTTGCGCTCGATGCAGAGCTGCGCGCGTCGACAGGGAAGGAGCCGCCGCAGCCTCTCCCGCCGAAACACTGGTTCAAGCGGACACTGCACGACGAGGAAGTGAGCCACCTCTGACCGCTTTCCAGTGACACCTTTCCTGACTTTCAGAAGATCCGCGAACGCCGCGTCCGGCTGGAACAGTACTTGCGTGTGATCTTGACGACAAAAGATGCGCGGTGGCGGCAGAGCTTTGGTTGGGGCGACTTTCTCAACGTTGTCCAGGCCAAGGCGCTGCAGGCGGACAAGGTGACGCCAGCGTCGTGGCTGACGGAACACGGCGCCGTCGAGGGTCTCCTCCGCGGCGCACGCGCGGCGTTACTGAAGCGGGATGCTCTCGCTCGTGTCGGTGACCCTGCAGCGAGGCAGAGCGGAATGGACGCACGGAAAGCTTTGCGCGACGCCGGTCCGCGCATCCGAGAACTCGAGAACACGCTCGCAGAGCTCACGCTCGGCGATGGTGAGAAGCGGCGGCGCGAAGATCTTGTTGCGTCCCTGGGAGCAGAGCACGGCAACCTCCTCCGCCAAGCCGAAGCGGGATACCGGGCGGCGTTGGTATCGAAGGGACGGAGTCCGTCCGGCCGCTCAAGCCCGAGTCCAGGCCGCACGTCGCCTCCAGGCCGGACAGAGTTTGTCGGGCGTTCAGGCGGTGGGCGCGTGTTTGGCCGCAAAGCCAGCCCGCCCAAGGAGACGGCGCAGACTCGCCCGCTTGACGACCGCGGCCTTGTCCAGCTCCAGGTCTCGCAGATGGCGAGGCAGGACGAGCAGCTCGGCGCGCTCAGCGGGATGCTCAGGACGCAGCGCAAGATGGGCGAGGACATTGCCGCCGAGGTTGCGCTGCAGAATGAGATGCTCGAGGGATTGGATGCGGACATTTCGCGTGTGGGCGGGAAGATGACGAGGGCGAAGAGGGATCTGAACAGGCTCTAGGCGAGCGTGCGAGCGCAGCGAGCGCGCTGCCGTGATCCCCACTTTCCCGTTGATACCTCACAGCGACGACCCGTAGATGTCTAGTCGTAGACCGTGTAGCCTATTCTCTATTCCCTATCTGCCGCTTGGCATAATCGATGCGCATTACAGATGCATTTAGACACTTTAAGTATTGATACATAAGACCTATCAAGCCGCAAAGTTCCTCTAGTCTATCCGTCTACATGATGCCCCAAAGACTGCCCCCGATCTTGATCTTGCTCCCCATCCCACAAATCAACCCCGCGAACGTGACGATACCGCTGAAAACGCCTGCAAGCTGATACCCGAGTTCGCCGGGATGTTCACCGACGATGGCGCCGCCAATCGGCGGCCCAGTAAACGCAAACACGGCAACGATGGTCCACAGCAATCCGACGCGCAGGCCAATCTCGCTCGCTGGGCCCGTAAGAGCGACGCAAGCGGGGATGATGGAGATGAACATGCCGACGAAGAACCCATAAGTCGGTGTACACGCGATCAGCGCGCCCAATTTGACGGAGGGGATCCAGAACGCCAACAGAGACAATGTACTGCCGAGGGCAGAGACGATGAGCACGTTGAACGCGCCCCACTGGTCCCCGACCGCGGCGACGAGGCGGCCAATAGTGCTCCCGGCATTGATGAAGGCGATGGTGTAGAAGGCCAGACTGTCACTTGCGCCGAGCTCGAGTGCGCGGTTAGACGCGAAGAAGAAGGGCGTGTACATCCCAAAGAACACGAGGGAGACGCAGGCCGTCATCAAAAGGAAGGGAGACTCCTTCAGCGGGTGCCAGAAAGCGCGCCAGGGCGTGGGCTTCTTCCGCGGCAGGCGCGTGCGCACCATGCACCACGAGAGGGCGAAGAGGAACAGGCTGATGAAGGCGACGGTTCGGATGGCCCACTCGAATCCTGGCCTGTCAGCTCACATTCCACTATAGACTTTCCGCTTCCTTCTCTTTTCCTTTCCTGTAAACTCACCAATCTCGTCGAAGAGCCGCTTAAGCGCAATGGGCCATAATGTTCCCCCCAATCCCGAGCTGGAGCCCACGATCGCCATCGCCAACGCGCGCTTGCGCGCAAACCAGTGTCCCGGTACTGCGATTGCGGGATAGAAGATGAGCCCAGAGCCAAGACCGAAGAGAAGGCCCTGGGCGAGGAAGAACTGGTAGTATTCGTTGCACACTGCTCATTAGCTACAACATTGCGTGGCGAACACGGGTAGTGGGTTGAGCGGCGAGCGACGAGACGGGGGAGACGGGGGAGACGGGGGAGACGGGGGAGACGGGGGAGACGGGGTCCGCACTACTCTGCCCGCTCTGCCCCGTCCTCCGGGTACGACACCTCCAGCGAGGGTAAAAACTCACAACTAGTCATCATCAAGCTGAGCACGAAGATGATGCCCCCCGGAATAAGCAGGACATGCGCGCCATGCGCATCAAACACCCGTCCAACAAACAGTCCCACAAAGAACAAGATGAGTTGCTGGACACTGCCAATCCAAGCGATTTCGCTCTCGCTGTAGTCTCGCAGCTGGTTGACCTCGTAATAGCTCTGGAACACGCCAAAGGTGTTGATCAAGCCGAACTGGACGAAAACAGCTAAATACCCGCCCGCCACGGTCGTCCAGGCCCAGAACCCGCCGTCGGGGGCTGGTCCCACCCCGGGCGGGGGGTGCGAGGCGGGAGAGGTCTCGGCGAGCGCGAGCTCGCCGTCGCGCGGCGCATGTGGGTGCTCATGCGGGTGTTCGTGTTTTGGGGGGAATTCTGTGTCGGCATGATACCCCGCTGTCGAGGGGGGAGAGGAGTGGCCCTTCTCGAGGTCGGAGGGGTTCATCGTTGTTGATGAGCGCGTGCTCATCGCTGCGATTGCGAGCAGAGCGAGCGGAGCGAGCAAGCGCGTCGGTGGAGTAGTGTCGGGCAGAAGAGGCGGGGTGGCAGTGGCTTGGAGCTCCTTTGTTTTGCTGTCCTCTGCGAAGATCCAAAGGTGAAATCGGTAATGTCGGTGAGGTGGAGCGTTCCAGTTGGCGATTAGATAAAACCGGGGGCTTGCAAGCTTGCGTCGTTGTTAGTCGCTCTTAGAAGTTTTGTGCAACGGGACAGATACGGGTGACTACCTCATCCCCCCCTCTCGTGATGTTTTTATTGCGCAAGAGGCAGCGCACGGAGGCCCCGAGGTCCTCGCGCGGCTCCGCACTGCTACCCCCTGCATACCCTGCGGATCCTGCGGAGCAGCGGGGACCGATGCCGACGAGGCACGCCGTGCTGCTGGCTCTATCGGTTATTTCCAGCTCGGCGGATGCAAGGCATGCAAGGATGACTAAAGGCGGGACCGGCCGACGATCGGCCGGTTCGCCCGGTGCTGCTTGCTTGATGCGTGTTTCGGGAAACCCATTGGATTAGTTTTCCTGACTCCTACTAGTCATGGGGCATTAGAGAAGTTGAAGCGAGTTTAGGAATGATTAGGAAGAATTGGAGAGGGTGCCAGGGCGCCAGGGCCAGCTGAAGGCAGAAGAGCTGAGGGCGGAGCTGGCCGAACGCGCCGGGCGAGTCGGCCGGTCACCGGCCGAGAGCATGATGTCACCTTCTGGCCTGCCCATGGTCGCATTTGTTCTTTTTGCTGAGCCCCGCACAGTGATCAGAGGGTTGATAAGCAGGTTCATTCCTCACGCCTCGTTCTTTGTTTCCGATTACCGTTTCGTCTTGGCATGTCTCTTCTCGACCTCACTGTGCTTCATAAGCTGTCTCCTTGCGGAGCCGAACAGAGCGCCCCCCGCCTTGCCAAGATCCCACGCCCAAGGATCTTCTCACGAGAATAGCACTGAGGCTCACACGACCTGGCCTGACGCGACGCACAGACTGGTTTACTATAATCTGCATATCGAACTAAAGCTGGACTGATCTTGTCCCTTGTAGTTGCTACTGTCCTACCCCTCAACCACGTCTATTCGGTCGCTTAAGCAAGAACGTAGACGGCAACAGCGGCAGCAGCAGCCGCGCCGCTAACGCCAAGACGCGCGGCGCCACCAGGCTGGCTGGCAGCAGGGGCGGCGGCCGAGCTCTCGCCAGCAGCACCAGAGGCCGAGCCAGAGGGGGCGTTACCGCCCGACTGCTGAGCGCCATCGGTAGGTTGCGCGTTGTTGGAAGCACTGGAGGAGGCACCAGGCGCGCCGGGGTGAGGCGGGGGCGCGATCGTGCCGTTCATGCGCATCGTGAAGCCCGATGTCTGGCCGAGCTTGCTGCCCGACGTCATGTCGTAGAGGGCCAGGAGGTAGTTGTGGCCCGTGGGCAGGTCCTCGCCGATCATGCCCTTCCACTCGCCGATGCCGCCGGCAACTGGGCGTTAGCGTGGTCTCGATGAAGAGGTCAGGTAGGTCAATGGATGCGAGAGAACACCCATCCCTAGCGCAGGAGAGCAAGCCTCTCTTGCCAGTCTGCGAGAGTGCAGGACGGGGCACCCGCAGCAACGCTTGGTGAGGAGGAAGGTCTCGTCCTCAGAGGAAGGGCGCCACCTCTCCTCACGGCCCTGGCGGGCCGCCAGGTGTACTCACTGTTCGTCTGGAGCTCCTTCTCTCCAGCCCAGAAGTCCTTCCTCGAGTTGGTGAGAACGAGCCTGGTGGTGATGTTGACAGGGTTCCAGATAGCCCTGTTCTCAATACCGTTGACCCAGAAGCCGTACGCCTTCGAGTTGCTCGGCGCGTAGAAGTAGGTCGAGTTCCAGCCAGGGTTGGTGCCGCCGCTCTCGGGGGTCACGTCGTTGCCGTCCGGTCCGTCCTCGACGGCGCCGCCCGACGTCGCGGGGCCAGCGGCGGAAGCGGAGGGGGCGACTTTGCCGCCGCTCTGGGCGGGGTCGGCCGAGGCCACCATCGAGGTCGCGCTGGCGGCGGCGTTGTCCTGGGCCACGGCGGAGAGGGCCAGGAGAGACAGGGCGGAGAGCTGCGTGAGGCCGAACATGATGCTGTGCGGGGTATTCAGAAACGTAGGAGAGACGAGAAAAGAGAAGACGGTGGGAATCGCATCGCAGGGGGCAGGGTAGATCCGTCTCATATACCGGCGTGGGCTGGGCGAGCGGGTGTCTCACTGCCCACTGGCGAGGGTAGGCTCGGAGAGAGCAAGGGGTCTAACAGCCCAGCTGAGCAGCTGAGCAGCTGACAGCCAGCGCAAGCAGGGCAGGACCAATCGGCTGCATGGGAATAGAACCTGGGTGCATGCATGCAATCGACGGCTGCGCAGTAAACAACTGAATGTCTCGTGAAGCCATGAGACCCAGACGCCATCCCGGACATTCGGGAGCAACAAGGGGAAAGGCCTTATCTTGGCATATCTCGGCGCGACCTTGGCGTGCACTTGGCCCAGCGCGCCATCTCGTCAGCCAGTGCATGTTTGAATTCGCCGCGCGTCAAGACAAACGTCTGTCTGGCGCTGAATTGCAACTCTAACCCTCTGTTAGGCGTAAACATGTGCACTGGCGAGCTAGAGGAAAGCTAGAACATGCATGTGCACACGATGTGTATGCGCAGAAGACGGCGATTGTGAGTGGACGTACGCAAAGTGGAGGCCGGTGTGAGAATCAAAAGCCCGATCCCGGATGTACTATTCTTCTTGGAGACCCCACTAATCAGCTTGGGATCCGCCAAGCATGAACCTTTGTGCCTAGACACCGTATTAAGCAAGAGGGCCAGAGTTGTGACGTACGCGCCGTGTCTCGCCGCGTCTGTTCGAATGAATCGAACTCTGTGAGGCAGACAGCCGGCCCGGGCATCTCCGTTTCACTTGGCACTCTCATCTAAACAGGCACCACCGTCCAGACTCGTTTGCGCAACGAGATCGTTCACATCATATCGGAGAATGTACAAGGAGGCAGTGTTCTTATGGGTACAGGTACTAAGTGAGTGTATGGGGCGAGCTTCAATCGAATGTAGATGAGATCTACTCCTCGGTGACCTCGATGACCTTGGTACCCTTCTGGCCTTGTTCACGATCGCCCTTGGCTGGCTTGGCGTCTCCGTGCCCATGCGAGTCGTCCTTGTCCTTTGGTCCCTTCCCATTGGCAGGCTTCACGTGCCCATCGCCCTTCGACTTGTCTGTGCCCTTTTCCTTGCCACCCTTGCTGTTAGATGAGCTGGGGAGGGCCGAGGCAGACAAGTTGAGGGGCGCGGCCACTGTCGAGTTCGCTGAGGGACTGGTGGTAGAAGTCGAGCCCATGTCGGCGGTATCAGGGACACCTGAGCCGTTGTTGAGCAGCCCCTGCCGCCTAGCCGAGTCCAGCGGCGTGGCTCCGCCGCCGACGGAGACATTGCCCACGAGCCCTGGGGCGGACCACGCCTCGGCAGCATCGGCGGGGATGTGGTCGTACGCTGCGGCGGCAGAGTTGGCATAGCTCTTGTCCGAGGGTGTCTCGAACACGGCGAAAACGGGGGTATGGTCGGCCTCGGTGTCCGACTCGGCGTCGGGGTCAGAGGCGGAGACGGACGTGTTGGAGGGTATCGAGGGAGGGACAGGGACGGTGGCATTCTTGACTCCGGTGTGGTTGGACGAAGATCCAGGTTTGGTGGCCGTCGCGTTCTTCCCTGGAACGGACTCGGGCTCGGCGTCGTCGTAGATTGCACGCTTAGCTGGTCCAATCTCGTCCGGGTCACCAGTGCAGAGCCCAAGCCACTCCTTCGGCTGCTCGAACCCCCTTACCACCTCGGGACGCACAACGACGACGCCCAACTTGCCATTCGCGAGGTGCCAGCCGAGGTGGCAGTGGATCGGCCACACGCCCGGATCATCCAGCGGCACCCTCAACAGCGCCCACGTGCCGTTGGGCATGAGGATCGTATCCCGTCTGAGTGGATTGGGCGGGTTCATCTCGACCTTCCCCAGTTCCTCCAGGGTCGTACTCCCTTCCCCGCGGGCGAGGATCGTGAACGGCCGTCCGTGCAGGTGGAACGGGTGTGTCAGAGCGCGATCAAGCTGGTTCAGAAGTATGTCTGCCGTCTGGTTCCTGCTTCCGTTGAGGGAGAGGTGCGCGAAGTGGCTGCTGTTCAGGGCCCGCCCATCCATCACCTGCTTCAGCACGGGGTCGTTGATGTAGTTCGTGTATGTCACCCGCTGTCCGCCATTGGCGCCGATACCGAATCCGAGAAAGTCCGCACCAGTGACGGGATCAACGAACCGGCCCGCCATGCTGTCCAACCGCCCCCTAGCTGAGACGGGGCCGAGGGGCTCCTTCTCGACGGGAACGAGCGTGTGCTCCTGGTCACTGTCGAGGCAGGGCGCGAGTGTGGCTGCGCGATCGGGCCAGGGCGCGCTGGTCGGTGGGCGTCGAGACCAAGTCAGGCCGAAGCGATCAGTGTACCGCAGAACAGCACGCGTCTCCATCTCGAAGCCTCGAAAGATGCACCCGGCAGCCGCGCGCGCGCGGATCCAGAACGCATCCCCCACCCCGCCCTGGTTTAGGTGCAGGATGACGCTGACGCGCTGCCCAACCGCCAGAGACACCTCGTGCATGAACACGGGGCGTACGGGCGTATCGTCCACCTCGACGAGTTGGAGGACGTGCTGGTCCACACTGACTCGGATCAGACTCTCGCTGCCGGGGTTGATGAGGCGGAGCTTCAGTCTCGAGCCCAGGCGGGCATGCACGGTTGCAGGGCGGGTGCGAGTGCACTTCACCCCGGCCTGGGCCTTGGCGCAGTCCGTCTGCCCCACCCCGTTGATCAGCACCGAGTCCGGCATCGTCGCGAACGGCTGCCCCCTGTATCCGGCACTGAGGTTGTGCAAGCCGTTGACGATCGTGTCGCTCTGGTCATCGTACCAATCGCTCACGAACAGGACCTTCTCGTTGTCGAAGTCGCGCCAGCGCTTGATGGGGTCGTCGGGGGAGTAGACGATCAGCGCGCCGTAGAGCCCATCAGCGAGCGTGTTGCCATAGTGCGAGTGGTACCAGTACGTGCCGTAGCTGGTGCACTTGAAGCGATACGTGAACCGACCTCCGGGGGCGATGGGGCACTGTGTGATACCCGGTGGACCGTCGTAGTATCCCGTCCCCTCCTGCCGGATACCGTGCCAGTGCACGCTCTGCGGTGTGTCAAGGTCGTTGATGACGGTGATGACGAGCGTGTCGCCCACCGTGGCTTGAAGCAAGGGGCCAGGGAACTGCCCGTTGATGACAGACATGCGGCGCAGGAAGCCATCGGGAGACCCGGCGGCGTACGACAGGCGCAGCGTGTAGCGACGCTCGCGGGGGCGTTGGGTCAAAGAGTTCAGGGCGAACGCCTGAGGGGGCGTGCGCACCGTCACCTTCGGGAGGGGTGGCTGAGGATATGAAAAGGTCGGCGAGGCAGCCGCGAAGGAGGTTATAGAGCTGGAGGGTAACACGGAGCCGTTGAGAGAGGCGGTTGGTTCGCTGGCTGGCACCGGTGAGTCAGAGGCTGTAGCTGAGGAAGCCCTGGTGGCGGACGCGGAGGTGGCAGCGGAAGCGGTGACGGAGACAGTCTGCAGACGAAGGGCCCCACTTGGCACGCTGGTCGGAGCGCCGGCGAGCACGCTGCTGACGAAAGTCGCGATTGGGCCTGCAGTCACAGGCGTCGTGATGTCGGTGCGTGTGATGTCGACTTCACCGCTTGCGCCTCCGTCGCCATCACTTCCACCTTCGTTGACATCTGAAGCAGACCCAGCAGAGCCGTTAGTGGGTGTGGCTGTGAGAGCGGGCGATGGGGCGAGTGTGGGCTCAGTCAACACCTCACTAACGAAGGAGGCGATAGGTCCGGTCGTCACTGGTGTTGTGACTTCGGTGTTGGATGCGGATGGTGAATCGGACTGGGCGAGAACCGACCCCGCCAGAAGGAGTGCGAGCAGCGGGGCGAGCATTGTCTACAAGTTGAAAGAGCGTGGGGGTGAAAGGAGGGTGGCGCTGTGAGAGCAGTGGGGTTGTCGACGCTGCCTGCAGAGTCCTTATGTGCCCAGCGACGTCGACGATGGCTGCAGTGGAGACGGTAAGCGAATGCACAGAATGCGCAGTGCTGTCACTGAGAGACTCTGTGGGCATGTCTCGAGGACTATGATACGGTTCCGGGCCCATGCATGAGCAAGTGGTCTCTGAGGAGAGGTGAACGGGAATAGCACGCTGGGGCAAGACCTCGACGCTGTCTGAGTGATGGTCGGTGGAGCTGGTCCGCAGGTCCGACGATGTGCACCGGCCAGGTGTGGTCTGGACGACCGGTTGTGACTCGGCTCGTCCATTGCGGCATTTCTGGACGGCGCAGAGGGCGTCGAATGGCAGTGAAAAGCTACTCCGTTCTCCTGCCAAGCCTAATGACGATCCGCAGCCGGCGACGACCAAGTGACGGCTGGACTGTGAGTTGGCACTCTGATCTCACTTGGACGCTGCACACCTGCAAGTGCGTGAGCGATCGTTGCCCGCCTCCATCAGTACTCCGCTATGACCGCCGCTGATCGAGCTTTGACATCAAACGTTCACCCGGCGGTGGCTGCTCTGCGACTACCCGGGCAGAGGATGGGAGTCGAGGTCCTTCTTCCGTCGGAGAGCAGAAAGCACAGACCGCCTTCGGAGCCGAGCCTCTCTGAGTGCTCACGTGTGCCGCCACTCACTGAAGCAGCTTCTACGCTCACAAGAAGCATATCCTACCCGGCTCTGCTGCAGAACTCCTTATCTGCTTCCGCTGGTTATCCGGTTCCGCCAGGAAAACTTATCGTTTCCTGAGTTCGATTCCTGCTCTTCGCACCAGGGCAGATCTCCTTTCGCACCTCTCGCACCTACGCATGCCCTTCTAGCTTCTGGTTCTCTGCGTCAAGTGTCTGACTCCCCCGAGGATGCCCCACTTTCTTCCGCTCTCGCCCTCGGCGCCTCCAACTTTCAGTCCCGTCAAGCGAAGGGTGACGGCACCGCCCTCTTTCGAAGGGCCACAACTCGACCAGTTTTGCAGCTATCGTTACATCGATTGGTTCGTCGGAGAGCTCGGAGTCTGCGCTACCTCTTCAACACCTGCAGAGTATCCTGACATCCTTGCCTCGTTATATCAGTCGGTAGATAGTGTGACTCTTACGCTCACGAGCCGATTGATCACACAGTCATGGGTTCGAGCCCCATACGAGGCTTCTTTTTCGTCTTCTGCATGGTCACGGAGGGTCTGCACACCGTCATTGGGGGGACTGGTGCACCCGGAATCTGTTCTTAGGAAGGTGGGTACACCGTAGAGAGGTGTGGCAACGGACCCGCAATTGTTCCGAATTTAAGGAATTAATGTTTGCCAGCGCTTGGTGGACAACGACGGTCGAAGGAATACTGCCAGAAACACCATAAGCGCTGTTCATCACAATCGCCTCCTACACGCAGGAGGTCATTCCGGCACGTGCCCGCTGCACAATCTCACACGGCATGCTACTGGAGCCGAGCGTGTGCCGACCGCGGTTGCGTGGAGTTTGCGACAAGCGACAGGGCGCAGACCGAGATTTAGCACCTCTGAATCGACTTGCTTTGCTAGAATTCAGCCTCTACTTGCCTTCGTAACGTTATAGTATGTGTTTTCTTCGCACTGTTCTCACGCCCCCGCTGGCCTGCGACGATACAAGAGCGAGACTTTCCAGCGTCTCTCCCCTTTTCACCCTACTCTTCATCGACTGCACCATGCCCCCGATCCGAACCAAGAGGGAGCGCACCTCGTCCGTCCAGCCCGTCAATATTGATCCCCAATGGTCAGACGGTGACTTCTCCCTGATCAGTAAGGACGGTACAACCTTTAAAGTGCCTTCGTATCACCTACAATCGGCTTCGTGAGTGGCGAGAGCTAGGTACTCGATTGACAGGACAGGACAGTCTTCAGGAGCATGCTGCTCGCCGGAGACCGACCTAGAGAGGTCACTCTTGAGGCACGAGCGGTCACGATCAGACACTTCCTCCAGATGGTCGGGAGTGGGAAGCCCACCTTCACGAAGATTGATGACTTCGAATATATGGATCAAGTGGTGGAGCTCGCAGCTTTCCTGGACAAGTACCAGTGCCACGCAGCCTTGTACATGTTCTTCCATTACATCAAAACAATTGAGCCTGTAGCTCCCCTGCTGCTATTCATGGTCGGCGTGCGTCTGCAACGTCCGCAGGTGTGCTCAGAGGCTCTCGATCAAAGCCCTCAGTCGTGGCACAGCTACAGTTGCAAAGTCTACACTGGAAGCGTCTCCTGGAAAACGCCCAAGTTCGTCCAAGACTTCGACAAACTCCGGCGAACGCCACGAGCGCCCGTGGACCTCGACTCGCAGATGCTTCTTCCGCAGGCTATACCCTGTAATTTGTTCCTTAGCTTCCCTCCAGAGTATGCGTGGGCCTTGGCCGCGGGTGTCTCCTATTACCACAAGGTCGCTCATCAATGCTCCGGGGCTGAGTTCCTGAAGCTAGTGAAGGTTGCGCGGGAGGCGAGAGCTCTGGCAGGGAATACGGCTTAGGTAAGTCTTGTAAACGACCGATCGGTTGATGATTTCTCCGCTCATGTATGAGGCTTTCTCGCTGGCAATTGCGATCCTTTGCAATCCACACACTCGATGGCTAAGAGCAGACAAGAGGGTCAACCGTGCGTGAGAATTCACACGACGGGGCGCATACTCTCAGCTTGTTCTCAGCCGCTGCTCCTACCGCACCGAGATCGCACTGATGTACACTTCCACCTCCCGTCAGCCTGGCTTGGTGCGACCCCATCTCGGGCGCAATACATATAGGCCAGCAGCGGTTGTCCATCATCTGGCAACCCTCCCGTTACCCTCCCAACCACCATCCAACCTCGTTATGGCATCCAAGATCGCCAATTGCGAGCCCCCTGGGCCGCTTGGTTACGACGAGTACTGGCGAGTGGGCGATTTCAAGCTCATCACCTCCGACGGGGTGTGCTTCCGCGTCTCCTCCATTTTCCTGGATTGCTGGTCGTGAGTTGCCGCTGATGATCCCAGCTGACGTTAGTGATGCCTTCAGCGGTATGCTGAATGCTGGTAGCGGCCCCAAGGTCATTGAACTCGACGAGCCGTCCATTGCTGTGCACGGCTTCCTGTCTTCCGTCGAGAACCAGCGCCTCGACCAATTGTGGATGGAGCAAGACCTGTTCGCACGCGCTGTGTCGGTTCTGTCCTTCATGGCGCGATTCGGGTGCGACGCGGTGCTGGAGATCGCCCTCGCCAGCCTCAAGAGACGCGTTCAGATCGGCAAGTGGCCGCGCTTCCTCCTCTTCCTCGTCGGGGCCATCCTTCGCCGCCCGGCGCTGTGTGAGGAGGCCGTGACCCCATCGCCGGAGTACGTGCCCGACGCAACGTGGGGGACATTTGCGACGGCCCTTCGTCCGCCCCTTGCCTGTGGTGGTTTGGGTGCGTGCACCTTGGATTTCCGCGGACACATCAAGCAGACGCTCGACGCCCTTCCGACCGAGTACCTCTGCGCCCTGGCCGCCTGGGACGCAGCCACTCACATGCTCGCGACTCGTCTCCCGGAGAGTGTGAAGTTTGGCGATTACTTGGACATGTTCCTTGGCAAACCGACGGTCGTCGGTTACACCCAGCGGAGAGCTTACAAGAGCTCGCAAGCCATGCAACGTCAAATGCCGATCAAACCTCGCAAGCACAATGGTCCCCACGAGAACATCAGTCCTCGCCAGCACCGCCTCCCCCGCAACACACCTGCGGGCGGCCAGAGCGATTCTGCGACGGCGTCGGCAGGGCCGTCCCTCGATCCCAGGCTGTCTCGCAGGCTCGCTCTTACCAAACACAGCAAGAACGCCCGCCAGCAGGTCGTTGAGCCAATCGTCCTGCTTCAAGTAAGTGTCGTAAACGGGCCCTGCCCCCACCACTCCGACACCTGCGACTCGTACAAGCCGTCCGCCTGCTCCGTCCAACGAGCCGCCGAAGCAGCCGTGCAGTGCGCCGGTCCCCACTGCGCTCATCAGGCGACCAAGCAGCCCAACGACCACGTCGCTCTGCCGTTCGGCTCTCAGGCTACTCATCCGGCCACACAGTACGATGATCAGCCAGCCACTCATCAGACTACTCAGCAGCTGGCCACACAGCCGGCCAAGCCGCCCACTCAGCAGCCCAGCAAGGGATTTGTCGAGCGGGCCATCGTCCGGTCCAAGAGGCAGCTCTCCAAGCTGATCGCGAAGATGTCCTTCACTCCTCGCGTCAAGCATTCCCACGAGGCAGCTGTCAACCACTCTCTTGAGCAGTCGGACCAAACCACCTAGCAGACGTCCGAACAGCCCCAGACCAGCCTCCCCCAGCGCTCTCCTCCGCCTCATGCGGATATTCCTCCCGTTGCTGTTCTTCGCTCGCCTTTTACTCCCGTCCTCGGCCCTCGGATGGACAGTACAAGTGCAAGAATCACCGTAAGAGTGCCTAGGAAAGCCGAGTCTGTCATTAGTATCATCGGTGACATCTATCCCCACTGCTTCCCAGACCTTCCCAGTTTCCGTAGGATAAGTAGTTAATGGACTATGCATCAGTTTCCGGGTTTTCACTCAACCACGTCACACTGGTCACTTCTTACCCCCTCCTCCGTAGCCTGCAGTGAGTGCCGGATGGCCGGATGATGGGTATGGATACATCTCCTCTGACACTCGCTGACCGTGCTTCAAGCCCTTCTGGATGTGGCGTAGCTAATGAGGTTGCGGGTTTGTGGTCGTTCGTCTCGCGCTCACTTCGTCAGGACGCCCGTGATGTGGGGCACGGGGGAGTACCACGGCTCGTCGGAGGGGTTGGCAATGTCGACAGTGCTCCATGGGCCAGCCTTGAGCAGCTTCGCCTCCGTGTTGCGGCATAGGTCGCAACCGCCCATCATGTGGGGCCAGACGAGATTCAGGATCCCTGTTGTGTCAGCCTTAGTCCTTCTTCACTCCTTCCATCCCTCGCGCTCTCTCGCACTCGCTTGCTCTCTCTTATTTTCGCTTGTTTCCGTAGCTCGCCCCCGCTTCCTTTGCTCGTCTCGCTCACTTCGCTCGCTTTGCTCGCACCAAACTCACACTGGTAGAGACGCATGACACCGTGGGTCTTGACGTGCTCGTAGACGTACCAATGGCCGCCGGGGCGGAGGTACTCGTACAGCTCGCGGATGTTGCGCTCGGGCTCGGGAATGGAGCAAAGACAGAGGAGGGTGACGATGCTGTCGATGCTGCCCTTGGGGATGCTGGCCTTGCGGAGGTCCTCGATACCGACGGGGACGACCTCGTACTTGCCCTGGAGGCCAGCCTTCTTGACCGAAGCGAGCAGTCCGGGGTGGAGATCGGGGTTGGGCTCGACGCCATAGACACGGTCGACCTTTCCGCCGGCGGCCGACTCGGCGAAACAGGGCACCCAGTTACCAGTGCCTGGGCCGACCTCGATGACGGTGCCGCTGACGGGCGCGTGCTTGGCCGTGGGCACCTTGATGCCGGCGCGCACCTTGCCCTGGAGGAGGGGCACGATGCGGCCCTCGTGCGCCTCGCGGACGCGGGGCGCGAAGACCTTCCACATGTTGCCGAACCATGCGTCCTGGAACGCCCTCAGCGAGGTGAGCGCGCCCCAGTCCTGGGCGAGGGCGAGCTTGACGACCGTAATCGGGAAGAAGATGACGGCCCCCGCGAGAAGGATGAGCGGCTGGGCGATCACGAGTAGCGGGTTCGGCATGGTGCTTGTTGAGAGTGGGAGAGTGGGCAAGAGCACATGCACGAGATCCCGCACCCAAATGTGTTCCCCAGGCCATGGCGGTGGAGGTCGTGCGCCTGTTCGGCATCTTCTTTCAGGGCCCCGGCTATAGCCGACGATCCGCACGTGACGTGGTCGAGACGAAGGCAGTGCGTCGTGAATTGAGATGTGCGATGGACAACGTCGAACCCGTCTCTTGGAGTTCTCACTCGCAACAAGATGTCGCACGAAGGGTGGGTGACGCTGGAAGGCGGAGCTGACGGTGCCCAGAGTCATCAACGCAGCCTTGTTCCCTAAGATCATCCAGAGAATCTTCGACGTAGCAGACGCAGACTCTCTCCGAGCCCTCTCACGCGCGAATCGCTCATTTCGCAGGGAGGCGCGGTGGCGTTTGCGCCCCCTGGAGCACTTCGATCTGCACGTCGCCAAAGTACCAGAGGCCATCAATAGAAACGTGACCGGAGCGTTTCTATACGAATTGAGCGGCCCCGGTGTCCGTGTGCTCGCGGACGGGAAGCACTTCCACTGGGGCCACGCAGGTGACGCTTGGGAAGAGTTCAAGCGAGCCACTTCTCTACTACCTCCGGTGCTATGGGACCTGGAGGCTGACTGGGAAATGGTGCGCTCCGGTGATAACTTCGAGGCGGGAGCGGCTTATGAGCGCCCCAAAGGTATCGAGCAAGTCAACTGTATCGAAGAGATACCGCAGAAAGACCTAGACGCCCTCAAACATGCGCGCGTCCTCGATGTGCACTATCCTCTCGGTATACCCGAGTCGTTCCTCACCCAGCGTCTACTGCCCCGCTTGCACACTATACGGTACCCCGCAGCTCAGTCCATCGAGGCACACAAGGCGTTGATCCACGCTCTGCCCGTACAGCGCATCGTAATCTTCGACAATCCTGGAAGGGTGATCAAGCGAGGCTATCGCAATGAAGTTTTGGAGATCTGCTCCCCGAGGACTACCAAGCTCGTGATCCACCAGTCGACCGGCAGCTGGAGGACTGGGGACATCTTCCCACCCTCTCCGCCGCCCTCGGATGGCCTCAAGGAGGTTGCGTACATCTTCAATCGCTGGACGCCGATGGAGAACATGTCAGGCACCAGCAGCCTGAATTCGTGTCAGTGGTTCGCAATCTGGGCACTCAAACGAGGCATGAAGGCATATGTCGTCGGAGCGGATGATTACAACCCAGATTCCGTCCGTGATAGACTACAGCCTGAGCCCGTGATAGAGCGGTGCTTGAAGGGCATGATCTTGCCATATGTCTCCTCGTCTCAGTTTGCCGACACCGAAATGTCTGAATTTGCAGAAAGCCAGATGGGGTTGCGGAGCCTGCGATTCGTCACGCGAGACGAGTATCGAGATATCGTCGGACAGGAGGACTTTGAAATCGAAACAGACATAGACTACTACAAGTGCACAGGCTCGCATCTGCTTTAACCCTATGCATAGAAGAGCAGCACCTCTTCGTCGACGCAGCTTCGGTGTCTTCGGATGCTCAGGGAAAGGCCGGACCGATGATCAGCACGTGACAGCGCAGGAGGTGGCCGATAGCTGCACGTGACTGGTCCAGCTGCGTCATCTGCGATGTCCGAACGCGATCCGTCTCCGCAAATCGCTTCATCGACAAACGTCGCCGAAGATGTCGCGCAAGGGGTGAGCAAGGGGG